GGGAGGCCGGTGACGGCTCTCGCCGCGCGGCGCCGCCGCCAGGGCGCAGCGGGCGCGCGAGTCCGCGTGGCGCGCCGGCCGCCACCGCCACCAGTAGCGTCCGTGTCGGCGAGAGCGCCAGACGTGTGGTGACGGCGCGCCATGTGACGGCGCCGCGCTCTGTGCCGCTCCCGTGTGTGATCATGTGGCCACTAGTGGTGACTGTGAGCGCCCTGCTGCTCGGCAGACCGGCCGCCGCCGCTGCGGACGCCGACCCGCTCCTGGAGAAACTGGCGTCCGGCCGGCCGCCGCGCGCCGTCGTCGATAAACTCGAGGCCGCATTCCTGCACACGCTGGGAATGAAGCGGCGGCCGAGCGCGCGGCCCCAGGTGCCCGCCTATCTGAGCGAGGTGTACGCCAAAGTTGCCACCACCACGCGCGAGCTCAACACGCTCGACTTGAACCTGCCCGGCCGCCTGACCGGCTCGGCCAACACCGTGCGCAGTTTCATCCATTCAGGTGAGTTGAGAGTAGCGCTCGAACGAGGGCCGGCCGGCCGGTCGGAGCGGCCGGCCGGCCGGCTCGCGCGGAGGGTGACCCTGGGAGCCGCGGCCGCAGACGCCGAGCCGCGGCTCCGATGCAGCTGTCGGCCGCGCTTCTGCCACTTGGCAAGGGATAAGCGGGACCTTGAATGAATTAGATTCACGGCGGGATGGTCAGTCCACCAGTGGGCCATTCGTGGAAGTGATATTGGGCAAGCGGTGTGGAGTCAGTGACCTCTGAGTGAGAGGCATTCAGGAGTGTTCCGGCAGCGTCTCCTGCGCGCCGAGTGAGCACAACCCTGGGGACAGGAGATTCAGGCTGCGTATTCAGGAGTGGGTACTCCGAATTACATTGAGGAATGGCCTGGCAGCATTATCTTCCCACAGTCAGAATGTTCAGCTCTTCGGACAGCAGCAGATTAACGTAAACGATCAGGAAGATTTCACATTAAGGAAAAATTAAAAGCAACGCGAGGGGTAGGCTAGTCTAATTGACTTGGCAACAGGCTGCGGACAGATGGGGACACCTTCAGTGAGTGTGAAGAGGGAGATGTCAATATTCGTGCTAGTCACTTGTGATCCGTTGGAGTCACTCCAGCTCGCCCTAAAGGAATGTTTAGAGGTCTTATTAGCTTTGCCATTAAACGGAGAAGCACCGCGCCGTTTGAATCTGAGACCTCGGTTAGCCGAAAACTCGGGTCACTGGCAAACCACATGTGTGACGAGTAAACGATCATGGATGTCCTCAGCAGAGAAAGTATATCAGCAGAGATAAGGCAAGTATTACTTGCACGGAGGCAAGTAATGGTATTTTTAGGCTGGTACAGTCATGCTTTTCTACGAAACAACACAACATCTGGAATGGTTTCTGAGATGCGTTTGAGTTGAAATGGTCTATTTGAGTCTGTCATAAATACGTAGCACTAATTTTAAGAACATGTCAAAGGCTGCAGACGAAGACAGCGACGGAAGAACGGCCGGGTTCAGACATGAGCTGGTCAGGGACAGAGATGATTAGGGCAGGGTCAGAGTCGGGCTCACGAATAGTCTGATACGGGTCAGATATGATAATGGTCATGGGTCAGGGTAAGATACGGGTCAGAGGTCAGGGTTACATACGGAGTGTCATAGAAAGAGGAATGAATTGAGGGAAGATCTACCCCGTATGCGGGTGCCACCAGGCTCACTTCTGTGCCGGAGAGATTTCTGAATGAAGTAAGGCTGATCGACGAAACAGTTCAGTGATGGGTAAAGCAGCCTCTGCAATTCGTCTGCTCTCTGCCTCGTTTTCCCACACAGGATCACAGTGATTACACGAAGGGAAGCGGTTAAGTGCCCGACCAGCACCCTCATCTGATTAAGGTAGCACTTGTACGAAATTTGGGCTGCGTGCTGGAATCACCATAATTTGCTTTCTGGCTCGCAAATGGCGGGCTGGCACGAAGGTCGAGGGCGTGCAGCAACGCCTCTCCGCTCGCGCAATCGTCGCGTAGCTGGGCATCCCGGAGGATGCACCGGATACAGTGCAAGTGCATTATTGTTGCGCATTGAGGTCGTGAGAGCCCGCTGCGATGTTCTAATCGCTGCGTCTTCAGGGCTCAAGGGCGTGAGGATAAAGGCTCATCACTTGTCACGACTGTTGTGCGGATACAAACGCTCCAGCGCTTACATGACGACGTGCTGAGCCCCACATTCCTCAACGCAAAATAGGCGTGGAAAATAAAATAATTACATATGTGCCAGCCCCAATCGACCTTCCGGGCAGTCAATATCAAGCCTACTCGGGCCCATCCGGGCGCCATAATTTTCACACCCGGGTCGGATTGAGTATTACGGCGGGGATTAGCGTCACACCAGGTGTCTTCACGCCTGTGCGCGGTCCATTCAGACGGGACGACGCCAGTGTCGACTTACAGCGGGATGTGACAGCCAGCACACCGATTAGAGGGTGCTTACGGCCGGTCGAGGGGCCGTGGAGTGACTCGCAGCGGGGCGCCAGGTGGCCCGATGGTCAGGGGTCGCGCCAGGGACTGTTCAGCTCCCCGCTCTCAGGGTGTTAACGCGGCCATTTTCGACCGTTCGCCAGGGCCATTTGGAAACCGATTGTGACCGTGTGCGTCTCCTGTTTCAGAGGATCGTGTGGACTGGCACAAGTATCCGGCCAACCTGCAGCGGCTGGTGTTCAACACGTCGGCGGTGCCCACCACCGAGACGCTCTCCGCCGCCGAGCTGCGGCTCTGGTGGCCCGGCGTCGAGAGCGACGCGTCGGGCGAGGGGGAGGGGGTGGCGGCGCGCGCGCGGCACCGAGTGCAGGTGTATGATGTGGTGCGACGGACAGGCGCCGGTGGCCGGCCCGTGCTGCGGCTAATAGACACTGTGACGGTACGCGGAGCCGCCCGGCCGCTCAGTCTGGACGTGAGCCCGGCGGCGCGCCGGTGGCTGGCGCGGCCCACTGCCAACCACGGCCTGTTGGTCAGGGTGCTGGCTCCGCCGGGCGCCGGAGAGCGGCTCCGGCTGCGGCCCGTCCCAGAGGAGGCCGCTGGCGACTGGCAACGACGCCAGCCGCTGCTGGTCACCTTCACCGACGACGGGCGGCCGCGTGCGCGCGCGCGCCGCAGCGCCCCGCGCTCGCACAAACGGCACAACGACGAGTGCCGGCGCCGAACACTCTACGTCGACTTCACCGACGTCGGCTGGAACAACTGGATCGTCGCGCCGGATGGGTACAACGCCTTCTTCTGCAAGGGCGAGTGCAACCAGTTTCCGCTGCCGCAGCACCTGAACGCCACCAACCACGCCATAGTGCAGACTCTGGTGCACGAGAAGGGTAGCTCAGTGCCATCCCCGTGCTGCGTGGCCACAGAGCTGTCGGCCATTTCGATGCTCTATACAGACCACTCGGACAATGTGGTGTTGAAAAACTACAAGGACATGGTGGTGGAAGCGTGCGGGTGCAACTGACCAGTCCGCGGGGCAGCGCGGGCGGGGGCGGGGGCGGACGATGCGCAGCTGACGCTCGCGCCGCCAGCCGGCGGGGCGCCGCCGCTCGCACTCCCGCTGTTGTTGACGTGTGTTGTTGCCGCCGGCGTGGCCGCGGACATTGGGCCGCGAGGGGCCGACGGTGGCCCTTGGACGCCTGTGCGCCCGAGCTCCCTGCCTCTGTGGTGTATCTGTGCCGCCCGGTGGGCCGCGGGGCCGCTGGCGGCGCTGAGGTGACGCACGAGCGTCTCTTCCATGACCTAGTCCTGTTCCGTCTGTGTATCGTTATAGAGTCGTGCTAGCTCAAATGTTTTTTGAAGGCGGAACTATGCAATGTTTGTGCGCTGGTCTGTTGTTTTCAGATAGGCGCTGAGCTATTATGTGTGCGTAAGGAGAGATGAATTGTGACGCCTGCCTACGCTGTGCGTGGACTCGTGTTTTTCGAATGATGTTGTGTGTTTGAAAGGGTTATATGGCTATCTGCGTGTGGGAGCGTGAGAGTTGGTCTGACGAGGTTTGAGTGGGTGAATGGGTGAGCTGTGAGGGAGAGCCGACCGTGCCGCTGCCATGTGATGAGCCGGGCCGCAGCAGCAGGCCGGGCCGGCGACAGCTAGTGGTCGCCGCCCACATGTACAAAGTCATTATTTAATGAGCGTCGGCGCATGTGCAGCTGGGCGCGGGCCACCCCGGCAGTCATTTTTGTATTATCTATATGATGTCCTGATTATGTGGTGAATCCAGATCATGTAATGCCATGTATATACAAGAGATATCAAACTACACCTTCTGTTTGAGGCCTCTGTCCTCGCCAATTACCTGAGTGTCCCATCAATAGTGCTGAATGGCGCCGCTTTGAAGTGCCCGCCGGCTATTTTTGCGTGGCTGATGCGGATGCACCTGGGGTCCGTTTCGTGTAGGTAAATGTTTTGCCTGGCATTGTGGACAGTTAAAATATGCCGTCACGCTAGCCGGACCACTCGGAGTGGCGGGTACACCGCAGGTGCGAGGAAACTCTGTCCGCCGGCGCGACACGAGAGATCTAATTAAACGGTTACCGACAGTCCAATCGAGTCCAGTCGGGGAAAGCCGTCTGGGGCTCACTGTTCGTTCTGAGGCCCTCGGAGATATCCGCTTTCAAGTGTGTTATGAAGCTCAACATCCCATTGCTCGCCCGTCTCCGAAATCCCGCACCCTACCCATAGTCTACTCCAACCTCGAACTGCTTCGCTTGTTTTCAATAGAAAACACAATTCTAACGAAAACAATTTGAAAACAATTCTAACGAAACAATTCTAAACGAAAACTACTTCAAACAACCTGCGGTTATGCCCCACATCCTACTATCCCACTTATATTTTCTGGACCCATTAATTTCCATGTTCTGTCTTCATCTTCTCTATCACTGAACTCTGCTTCACTGAACTTTGCCCCTGGCTATATCTATTTCTGATCGTTCCCCTTCTTGGCAGTCTGTTCGTTATGCTCGCACAAACTGTAGTGTTTCGTTACAAGTCTATGTATTCACATGAGTGGTGTCCGGCTCGGGCAGACACTCACACCCATCTAGACAGAACTGCAATCACAGCCGCCTCGTCGTTTGGCGCAAACTCCAGACCGTCGGGCGAGGTACACGCACCCGGTACACGTGTTCGTACTCAGTACCAGCACAAGTACCCAGCACAGATACACGTACTCATTGCGCCGTACACCGCTCGCCAGCGCGGCGTAGCGGTCAACAGCACCCAAAACACAGACACAGTCAACTCACAGTTCACAAACACCTGACCAGTTGAGCCCAGTGGTTGTCATTTCAACAAAGCTGCCGTGAGAGCGTTTTACGACCTCACTGGCGATATGACAAAAATACAGTGCATGAACGTAATTACAGGCAATCACGTCGTGTGACGATAATTGTACCGCATTCACTGATTCTCGATGCACCTGCCTGGAAGCAGAATTATGAAGCATCGTCTGCCTATAGATCGAATAAGAAATATCAGCTGCAATATCATTGTCGCCCTTTTAACGTCTCAGCACATCCGACAAAACGTGTTGTAAACAAGTTCCTTATTGAACTTCGCGGTATGGAACCATGTCTCACCACCCACACGAGTTTCCATTTTACGTTTCACGTTATAATTCGGCAAGAAATACAAAAATACAAGGACCCAGTCTCAAATAAACCAAAGCACACCAGCAGGGTGATACCGGCGACTTTAATAACGCACATATATCACACACCAGTGACAGACACACCGGCCAATCCAACGAAATCAGAAACAGACACCAAGCGCCGCCCTGACACACATCCCCCATCTGCCAGTGTTTGAGCGCCCCGGACCCGCAACACATCAGGATATCAGACAGATAAGAGTGCGGCTAAGCATTGGATAGTGCCAGGATGGAGGCTGGATCTTTTTGCATCAGGCTCAACTCGGTATGTAGGGAACCGAAAAATCAACCAACCGAACAACGCGTCTGGCTTCGTTAGGACGAGGAAGTTCCTCTCACTTGGATCTGCTTGGTGCGGTGCTGAGTTGTGCCCTGGATCTCCGTTGGATCTACTGGATCGTCAGGTGAGCCTCGTTACGTGCGATCCACAGCGGGCGGTGGCCTGCTCGTGACGGTGGTCGCTGTGCCCGGCACGACACCGGGCTTCAGATGCGCCGAATCATCTCGACACGGGGTGCAAGACGCGGCCACCGCCACTGCCGACCGGTGCCTCACATCCGAGCCGGGCTATAGGGCAAATCAGAAGAAGGGTGAAAATATATGGCGAAAGTAGCATGATATATGTGTTTGGTAATAATTTATGTTGTTTTCTGCGATATTTAAATTCAAAATGTTTAATTAATGGGCTAGTTAGGGTCACTAAAAGGGTTAATGTTGGGTAAGGACATCAGTACTACATTGGTAGGATGTAGCCGCTCCCGAAAAACATCATCTTTCACCTGTTTATGGGATACAAAGCATTGTGAATCGCCACCTGCGACGACAAGTAGCCGTTTCGTGTTGGCTGAGCCCCTTCTGATTGCATTCGACATCTTGGAGCGCGCCCAAAGCTGAGGGTCACTGAATGACCTTAGAGTTGGGACGGTCGGATTGTTTCGTCATCCTTCGATAGAAATCTAGAGCCGGTGAGGCGCGACGGGGGTGATGGAATTCTGAGGGCTCCGATCGATGTTGAGGGGTTCACGGGGGCTGCAGCTGGGCCGGCTCGAGTCGTGTCACCTTCACGGAGCCCATAGGCGCTGGGTGAGAAACCGATCGACGTATCTGCCGCAGTTTAGGTACAGGTAAGCAGGCAACGCAGAATGACGTAGAAGTACTCGTACATGTCTAAGGATTCAAGCTCTTAACCCTGCATATTAACAGATTACGACTAGGCATTACGAATACCCTGCATGAAAATAACTAAACTCACGGCAATCTAAGCGCAATACCGATAACTGAGCTGCACAATCCGGCATTAAATCCGACGTTCCAACAATTGTCCATGAGCCACGCCCTGCAACACCAGTGGGTCTATGCAAAACCAACGTAACAGCCAGACATACACAGACACGCACCGCTGTGTCGCATAACACCAGACCTGCCAGCCACGGCAGCGAGCGTTCAACACATCACATATTGAGGTATCCCGACACACCAAACACTGAAGCACACCGCCCGCTAAGCATCAAAATAGACAGCACCGCTTCGACAGTGAGACAGCGCGATCGCGGTCTGTTCACACTTTTCACGAGTTGTTTGATAGCACCCGGTCGACCTGACCATGCCACGAACACGTCCAACGTCCTACGTCCCACAAACACGTCACGCACATCTCGCCCCAGCCCCACTAGCAGTGGATCTCACTGTAGTTTGGATTTTTCTCGGCGTCCGCTTTGGGTGTGGAGATGCCGATTATACAGGGCTCCGTCCTGCCCAGTGCCTTGTCGTATGAGCTAGTCCGTGGCATGGCCACCGCTGCCAGACCGCCCTCTGCGCCCACATTCATGTAGGGCGGAGGCGGGCGGGCCGTTGCGCCGCCGGAGCTTGGCGGTAGTCCGCCCGGATCCAGCTTCAGCGGACTCGGTTTCCGGGCCCACTTGGCCTTGCGCCGGGGGTCGGAGGAGGGCGCCGCAGCGGCGGACGATGATGGCGGCGGCGGGGGAGGTGGCGCCGGCGGCAGCGGGTCGAGCAGCGCAGCCCGCTCGGCCGGCGAGCCGCGTCGGTGTCGGTGCCGCGTCGAGGCCGGCGGCGGCCAGTCGGGCGGCTCGTCGGGCGACTGCTGTAGCAGCGGCTGGCCACTCGGAGAGCCCGACATTGCGGAGCCGGCCGCCGCGCCGCCGCCCGACGACGCGCTGCCGCGGCTCCGCTCCGGCGTGGTGAAGGACGTCTCGGAGACGAGCGGCCGCTCGGTGGGCGAGCCGCGCACGTCCTCCCAGCTCGGCTCCGAGGCCAGGTCGGTGCGCACCGTGTTGAGCGAGTGGCTGCTGGGCTGCGTGGGCACCAGGTAATCGGCAGAGGACGAGGAGGCGGGCGTGTCGGCGCCGCGCCGCTTGTGGCTGTCCAGCGGCACCAGAGGCTCGGAGTCAGACGGACGCATCACCGTCATGTCCTTGTCCGTGGAGCCGACTCGATCGAACACGGGCAGCGGCGCGGCCATCACGTCCGGGTCCTGTGGGGCAGGTCAGTGAGGCGTCACCTGACGGGAGACACGCAGGTCACCGCCGCAAGTCACCTCCGTCACAGGTCAGAGGCAAGGTCAAAGTACAGCTAAATAGACACGGCGTCGTCACCCCCTAAATACAGTTTTGAAAACGATTTTGCAGATCGGTTTTTACAACGATGTGATATTGTTGCATGATGATGATCGGTTTCAGATGATCACTGAGCCGGGATAACATTTATGTCGTTGCTTTTGACTTCTTGATGTTACTTCAGAAATGTGTTCATCGAAGCGATAAATGACCCTTAGGGAGTTACTTAATTGTTTCTAAGTCAAAGTCAATATCAATTATTCTCTGACAGATAGGTACATGGTATTCGCAATGTTTTACAGGTTCTCCGGCAACATAATCCTTAGACAATGCTTCATGCATCAATCACCTTGTAAAAATGCGTGGGTGTATGACATTGAAAAATGATTCATGTCATAACCCGTCTTCCATGGTATGTGCGGAGTTTTAACATCTACCATCATGTCACTATAATAAGCCACATAATTTGGCAATCATTGTTACCAGAATCGCATGTCTTTAGCTTCCCCTTGCCTTAGAATAATATTTGGGGGGGGAGGGAGGCACAGCGCCGTTTAACAGTGCGGGTTATTTACGCGCGGGTAGTACCAAAGTATTTGTTCGCCCTTCAATGATATCCTTCTCTTCTCTGCCTGTTTAACTATAGAGAATCATCAATTCCAAAGTCATAGATCGGAGCAGGAGCTAATCATCTCCGACAGACAGACAAAGGTCTCCTGCAACAGTGCTCTAAATGCCAGGTGCCCGGTGCGTATTTCAGCTGTTATTGATCAGTTATGCGGTTCGCACGCTCCACCGTCTCAAAATGGCAAACTGCTATATCCCTTTGATCGCTCACTGCAGTTGGAAGCACACAATTATCGCGCTAGCCACACGCACCGAGGCCCGCTGCTCGACCCACCGGTGGTGCCTATGACCAACACCAGATCGCTTCTCCCCGCAGTATACTGCAGTATAACTCAGCAAGCAATGATTGAAACTCAACTCCCTGCCGCTGACATGAATCCCCACTGACATGAGATCCCTAAGGAGTCCCCGCCCGGCTGGCAAGCTCTCGTTCCCACCTGGAGGCAGTAGTCGAGCCGCTCCAGGACGGTGGCGAAGGTGGGTCGCTCCTCCGGCACGCGCTGCCAGCACTGGCACATAACGCCGTACACGGGAGCGGGGCAGTTGGAGGGCGAATCGAGCCGACCACCGTCCATGACCAGCTGCATCACCTCTGTGTTCCCGCGGCCCGGGTACGGCAGCTGGCCGAGCGTCATCACCTCCCAGAGCAGCACTCCAAACGACCTGAGGACGTCATCAAGCGTCATCAGACAGGGTACGGCGTCATCATCTCCATATCTCCCAGAGCAGCGCGCCGAACGACCTGTCAATAGGACGGCGTCATCAGACAGCACACAGAGTACCATCAGGCAGGTCAGAACGTCATCAGACAGTACACAGTGTCATCAAACAGGGCAGAGCGTCATCAGACAGGGTACGGCGTCATCGGACAGTACGCAGCGTCATCAGACAGGGAGGAACGTCATGGGACAGGACAGAGCGTCATCAGACAGGACACTGCGTCAGCAGTTACGGTACGGCGTCATCAGACGGTAATAAAATAATCTAATAAAATATTCCCACATTTCCGTTTGCCGTCTGCAAACTTTGCCATCGAGGCCTCAGACATCATATGGTTCTTTGGGAAATTTATGTTGCAAAAATACACATCCGGCAGTGGTTGCAAAGTCAGATGCAGCGATCAGTTATATGACATGACAGGTACCCACAAGGAAACAATGCGAGACCGCAAAGCATATTCACATGCAGGGCGGTGTTGACAAGCAAACGGTGCCGTTATTCCAGAGCGAATGGCTTGTGAGTTGTGACCACAATGCCGCAGCTTTATCCGCATTTTAATCTATGAATAGCAGCAAAGATGATGATCTGTGCCTATTTATCATCCGCTATTGGGGGTATAATTGGCGACTTCCTCAAAGTTGCTGGTAGAACCACAACCAGAGACGTCTGTAAGTTGGGATCAAACTCCCATGGCATAGCTTGAGTCCCGCTCTTTTTGCTCGAATCCAAATGTAATAAAGTGGGAACGAGCCATGATACATATTTCTTACACATAATGTAACTGATATGTGGGCAGATAGAAATATTTTCTTGTTATATAGCTAAAGGCCTAGATTACTGAGAACAATACACGTCGGATTAACTCCATTCACAATTCGCATAATGATCGCTCCGGGTCGTAGGCTAACACTCAACAGGCAGCATATAAGCTCATCTTCAGATGCTAATCGGTCCTCGTCACATGTTACCACTCAACAGGCAGCCTAAGTCCGTGTTCACACCAGTCCCGGTTCCCTGGAAAAGCCGATAAAAATGGCGACCGGTGCGGCGCTGACGGCGCACCGGGGCTGCCAACTGGACACGATTGCGGCCGGCGTGTCACCGAACATCACTATTTACACGGCCGTAAGTGATTTAACGTGTCCGCCCTGCACCTGTGCTCGTCACGTGAGACAGCGCGCCGCACGACTCAATTAGGGCGCGATGTCGCGAGTGGGTACAGATCCACCGACTGTCGCAGCATCACGCGCTGTTCTGTGAAAAAAGATGCTTCTAGTTTACAGCGATGGTGAGGCTGTCATGGCTGGCAAAATTATTATTCAATGTATGACCAATCTCAGCGGATGCGGTTAACTTCCGTAGGAATCATGGAACAACAGTGCACCGCGAACATGTCCTTCAAACTTCAAAGGCGACCTATAGCGAGATTAGTGGTTCGTCTGCATGACTGAACAAAACCACATCGACCATCTTACAGTTACTTCTCCTCGTGACACACTAAAAAAGCAAGATACAGCCCACGAAGGGCCGCCTTGAATAAACAACCGCACAGCGTTCTTTACTTATGCTCTTTGTTGGAGCTAGTGAATATACGAATCCGAATAATGCATTATACCAAAAAACTCGTGGAATGAAAAAATCATCGGTAGGTAAGCGATAGGTACTGATAACCTAAAAAGAATAACATTGAAATGGAACTGTCGACAGTGACTAAGTAACATGACATGAGAACAAAATATATTAATTGAACATGTAAGTAATTTAGATGATATTTAGAGGACATTTTTACTATCCGTCCAGTGAATATATTCGTAGGCTGCAGCGGGCACACATAACCATGCCGCGATATGCCCGCAGCTCTACCGAACCTGTGCTGCAGCTCACTAAGATTATTGCCGCCGGTCGCCATTGACGTCACTGCTGACGTCATCGATGACATCACACCGGCCGGTACCGATCGGCACAGCGACGTTGCCATGTTGAGATTCGTCTCGCGATCTCATCGACTGCCAACTGCGTAGGATCGAACACCCCAGGCCCAGCACACTAGCTCCAGCTGAATGACAGCTTCATGATAATCGACAAGCTTCTGCGCAGACATTCACTAGGTCTGCGCATGCCAAAAAAGCAGGGAAGACAAAGCTATCATGGTCAGTGGTCATTAGAAACATCCATCCAAGTACGCTTGCATCTTGCAAAAAAAAGCTGAAAGTTATAGCATATAAAGGAATGGTTAGGAAAAGGTTGTAAACAAATAGCCGGCAATCTAAGGCTCTTATATGGCCTTGTGAAAATGTCAAAGTGGGGGCAAGTTTAATTAAAAGGGAGATGTTATTTCTTAAACTAATAGGCATCGCAGGCATCGCATTGTTAATTTTCAACAAACCCAAAATCGACGTAGACGGTCCAAAACTGTCAACTAATGTACGCCATCCAGTGGTTATAAAACGACCGATTTGGGGCCGCCAGCTTTCGAAGACACCCAAAAGATCCCTGCATTTACCCTGCACATTTTCCCTGAAAGATCTCTGCACCCGAAAGATCCCATTTGTCAACCCTCAAATCTTATTCTGTGAAACCAAATAACCAACTGTCTCAGGTAGTCTTACCAACGCCGAAGCGCTGAAATGACATTTCTGAACTCTCCCATACAGGACAATCAAGAATAAAGTCACGCCACGTTCTCAGCTAGCACACTCTGAGCCCCCACCGCCTGACGGTGGGTGGTCCGTCCCGTCACTATTCAGCCTGTCTGCTGAATAGTGAATACCAATCGGAGAGTTCCAGTGAGCAGACGCGGACACCCCGTCACGACAGAGTTGTCTCTGATCAACCAACGTCAGCTCATGCGCGGCACGCTCCACCGCAGCCACCATGTCGTGTCAGAGATTGAATTTCCATCGCGGAGATGGTGTAAGTGACCGCATTTCCATCTGAGAGAGGCTCGACCAGCGAGATCACACCTGAGTGACATGGCCGACATGCACCCCCGTGCACGGCGCCGCCACCTCTGTGCACGCCGCCACCCTGGCTGCTTGTCTATAGTCGCAGCGCTGACTCCAAACGCCGACCGTGCCACGTTCCTCCGTCTGGTAAACAGCGGTCGACAGCGCCGATCTGAAAGCCTCGCCGGGCTGCAGCCCGAGCGGAGACCATGTCGTGATCTTCGAACGATTGCCGGCATTCCAGAGACTCACGAAGCGTGCATAATGCGGGAGCCAGCGAACACGGACTGACCAGCAGCGAGGTAGCATAGATGCAAATGTCACGAAGGTGTTCGGCCTTGGTGCTACTTTCGGAATTCATCGGAGGTGGCAAAAGGCAAACAAAACGGTCAATGGAAATGCCAGTTGCCAAAAAAGTCATTATTTTCCTTTTTTGCAAGCCCAGCTATCGACTTTCGCTGCTGAGCTCATTTTCCTTTCTTCAATAACCGTCCCATCGTGGCACTGTAAATGCCGAGGGATTAATCCTGCCGATTTTGCCGCCACACCATGTCATTTCACTGTTGCCGCCATTGTCCCTGGGTAATGAGACAGCGTCGTTAGTGCTGAATGTCCACTCTCGACGACTGACCCCTCACATGTTCCCTGAGCACCCCGACCGGGGTGTGACCGAGGTCGTGCAGGCATCCCGTCGGTATCTGACCGAGCCACAGACACCCTGCGGTCGGTCGACAGGTATGCCGCCGATTTTCCCCACAGACAACCGGCACGCGATGCTGCTCGCGCCCGGCACGAGCAGGGTCTTTGACGTAGCGACCGGCACGCCAGCGCAGGGTGCAGTGTCGCGGTTCACTGGAAATCACCACACTCTTGGAACGGATCGCACCTTCTGGAATCCAGGCCGGTGACATGCACTTGGGACCTCCTGGGAAATCTGTGAAAACTGCGCGTCTACATATAAGAAATACAATCAGATGTGTATCGCTTTGTCGAGTGTTGACAATAAATGGAATAACAATTTTATTTTCAACAATGCACGATGTCTTCACGTAATGATAATCATCAGCTGATTGTTTTTCTCTTTCCATTATTCCTCTTGCTATTGCAACACTTTTAGTGTCTTCTGCTGATCTTTCACGTTCTGTGTCGAGAAGTTCTGGCCGCAAAATTAAAGGTAGCGAGCAATAGACAGTATGAACCGTTTTTAATGACAGACTAAGCCACCCGCCGGACGGCTGTCTTGGTAGTGAAGACGTCGTCTGGAAAGGACAGAGAGCAGACTGTAGAGGGATCATGCTACTCACCAGACGTCGGTCTTGGTGGTGAAGACGCCGTCCAGGAAGGCTTCGGGCGGCATCCACTTCACCGGGATCATGGTCCTGCCGCCCTTACGGTAGTAGTCGGCCCTGTGGAAGAAATAAAGGTCAGCTTGATGACTGGCATGCTGTGAGGGTATCGAAGCTGTGTTAAAAATGTTACTGTCGAATTTAGGTTATCCACCTTAGAGCTAGCTACCACTCTGTCTTCGTCCGCCGGTTCTCTGTGTTTCTATATAGGTCTCGGTGTCTGTGTCTGTCTTCTCCTCTACCTTGATGTCTCTCCCTCTGCCTCCGCCTCTCTCTCTCTCTCTCTCTCTCTCTCTCTCTCTCTCTCTCTCTCTCTCTCTCTCTCTCTCTCTCTCTCTCTCTCTCTCTCTCTCTCTCTCTCTCTCTCTCTCTCTCTCTCTCTCTCTCTCTCTCTCGCTCCAAGCATACCAGAGAAGGCTGAATTCCTGGGCGGCCACTCCATCATTCCTCGATGGAGAGGCCGCTGGCGGCGTGTCACCGCTCGCCGTCTAGCCACCAGCCTGTCTCTCGGCCGCCGTCGCGGCTAGATCGTGTACGGCAGCCATGTGAGGCAGATGTCTATCGTGTCTCCGATGGGCGCCGGTGTCTCTGGTGGGCGCCGGACCGGCGCCGCGTCCACCGCTGGTGGCGCAATGGGCGCCGCGCCGCTCGCGCTGAGTCTCGCTGCCGGAACGTCCGGTTGGCGCCGGTCAGCGGTCAGCCCCGACCTCGCTCGGCGCCGTGCCGGTCCCTGTGCGTGTCTGCTGTGCACGGTCAGCGCTGTTTGGGGCTTAGAGCCACGGACAGGCGGCTGAGCCTTGTTGCATGCCCCGACTGCCGAGTTGGAACTGGGGGTCGCAGAGATGTTGTCCTAAGTGCGATCCCGTGCAGAAGTTAATTGCGATATCCATCAGACGAAATATATAATCATTGTTATTAGCAAAAGTGCGTACTATTTCTCGAATGTGTTCAAATCCTAATCCATATGTCACTCGCATAACAACTGCAGTCTGCAGGTGCTTTGAATTATGAAAAAATCCAATGTGTTGATGCTGTGTCATCAGCTCGCTCCACACTCGGAGCGTGAACTGGAAACACTACCAATTGTCCTCCGCGGTATGTATGTAGTCCCGCCTACAGCCTACACATAACAAGTCCAACTTAAATGACAGACCCATACGACACATGCTGGGATCATGCACCCAACGTAGCACTCGTTAATTGGTCAGCGCATCCAGGTGACTCAGGTGTGTCAGTCCACCTGGTTAGACCCTGGCAGGCTCACGGCAAGAGGCTCAAATCGGCGGCCGAGTATCGGATAAAACCTCATTCACCCCTGGCCCGTGCCCGTGCCGGGCTGTGAGATGTGTGTCGCGTGCCGGCCAAGGGAGGAGCCCGGGCCTCCCGGTGGCTATGCGCCCGCCGGACCGGCCTCCCGACCGACCCGGTGAAAACAGGATGTCCAGTGTCGCCTGCTGTCGGATTTGGAGCCAAACGGACTACCGACTACGGGTGCGATCGGTATCGCCGATGTCCTTTCTAAATACGTCCCGGAAGTGTTGAATTTTTACAACATAATATCACATTACATTGTTATATTTTTTTGCGTAATATACAGAGAAGTAATTTTAGAAACACATTACTAGTTATCTAGGACATTAAGCGTATACCTGGAGCCTGGCAAAAGCATCCTACTACTTGATGAGGTAGGTAATTGTTAAATGTGTTTAATTTCAATAAAGCTCAAAAGTATACGACATTTAGGTAGCTTTTTTGTCGTCGAGCGTCGGCGCAGGACGTTCCACAACAAACAAAGATCATCCTAGATTACAGGTCACCATTCACCATTATCTTCAAGATGGTTTCATCTCCCAAAAATCGATCTCATCGCCACATCCTGTTCTGGGTTTCCAGCGTTTCGCAATGTGAATGCGCAATAAGCGCATTGTGCAGACCTCTGCCCCAGAATAAAACCCCTTTGAAAATTAACCAATCATGTATCATATGAGTAGCTCGAAAAAAAACTTACGATTAGCCCTCGCGGGCCCGGGGGGGGGGGCGTTTTTCGCCCCCCCCCCCCCAGTGGCGAATATTTGCGATAGCTCCCGAACGCTTAGGGATAGGAAAACGAAACTTTCAGTACCTTTTCTCCCATCAATTTGACATCTTCTGAAGTAAAAAATATGGACCTAGCCCCCTTGATGACGTCACAAGGTCCATTTTTCTAGACCCCTGCACGGCAAACTTCGGCGTCACAGACGCAAACTTCAAATAGCTGCTTAAAATAGAGTTTTAGAGATAAAGACAAATTACGAGCACGGTTGTGTAGCATTTGACCTAGAGAAAAATATAAAAATAGTTTTGGTGACCTGAGGTCAGAGGTCAGGTCAACGACCCCGAAATGTGGTTTTAGTGTTTCGCAAATACCTTCGACAAAAATGGTCCTAGAGCTATGGCAGTGGTACCATCGCATTCGCCTTGTCAAGCCGCGTCGAATGATATATATATATTGTTCGGAAAAGGTCAAGTTTTATGTTGACCTCATGTGACCTCGAACGACCTCTGGTTGACCTTGACACATGAAAGGTCGTTTATGATGGATTTGTGCCCGCTGATCACGAATCTGGCATTCATTTTCTTCTACGCCTTCATTTAGAGCTTCCGGATGGCAAAATTGTATTATTTATTATTACTAACCTGAATTAGTGAAACAGCCTCTAGCAGGGATACTCTTCAGTGACCTTGACCTTTGAGCAGCCTTGTATCGTAAGAGGAACCACAAATAGGGAACTGATAAAGCCTCAAATCATTTCAAAACATCTTGAAAGTTAGCACGCAAGATATGCGAAAAAGTGCCAAGTTTGAGGTCAATTTTGAGCGTGACCTTGACCTTGACCTTTGATATTTTGAGCACATTTTTGGAATCCTCAGATTCTCTTCTTTCGTTTGTCACCCAATTTTGCCGGTTTGATGCCGCCTGCCGTCCTCTAGAAGGCTTACTTTGAGATCACTACACATGTGCCGGTTTTTGCCCTTGACCTTGACCTCTGACCTTGAAAATTGACCTGAGGTCAAAAATTTTAGGTGCTTTAGAATCGTCTCGTAGGGACCTTTCGTTTGGTATCGCTTTTGTTTCCGTAGCTCCCTTATTTATGGAGTTAGACGGGGGGGCGAAAAACGCCCCCCCCCCGGGCTGCGGTGGTTGGGATTACCCCCGGGCCCGGCCGGGTTAAGCTCGCATGGTGCTTGGCAGTTTGGCCAAGTCGCGACACTCCGAGACGAGGCCTTCAGAAGTTACCTAACTATACCTCAACATGTATTTTTTAATGAAAAACGCGTTTTTAGTTTATTCAACGATGTGTCTGTTTTTGGTTATAGGTAGGTAGGTAGGTTGTAGGTAGGTATGTGTCCAAGGCCAGGTAAGGAAAGGGTAGTGTAAATCAGCTATGAAAATGGTGACGATTTGGTGATGAACCACTACCCCATACCATACCAAACAACGCTCACAAACCATCCTCGGGCAGTTAACACGGTTACAGGACAATTCGCCGAAATGCGTTTTGCCGAATGCTTATTCGCCGAATGTCACTATGTCGAATTGCCGACGCGTCTTTTTGCCGACGTGTCGAAAAGGCGACGTGCTAAAAGTCGAAATGTTAGCACATCACCCGATCGCAGCACACTGGCGGACATGTGCCTAAGCTGTAGTTCGGACAACTCACCGGTAGATGTCTCTCGACATGCCGAAATCCGCGATCTTCACCACTCTTCCAGGGCCTTTGGTGGTTAGCAGGCAATTCCGAGCGGCGATATCTCGATGGATGAAGCGTTTGTTCTCCAGATACTCGCACCCTTTTGCCACATCGATGGCACAGGTAAGGAGATCATGTATTTTTAGATTCGGCGGCCGCTCCTGAAAAGATAAATTAGAATGAAATAGAGCGATTGTCCACACAGTGACACACTGTTTTCCAAGAGCCAGCAACAGTTTGAGTAGCCCTCCGTTCCGTCGTTTCCATCCTCAGGATACTGAAATCTTTCTTCTCCACGCCGCAACTCCTACTCCGGAACAGGTACCTTTATATCATGCGGGCTGCTCCCTCGGAGCGGCGCCGCTGCTCCCGAGGGGGCACACCCAGCCGGGTGCAGAGAGTAATTGCGGGACTGTTCGGCCTGTCTTTCGGGCCAGGCTCAGCCCCGGTGACTCTCTAGGGTGTCTGCCCAGACAAATGTATCTCCCTAATTCCTATCATCCCTCCGGCTCTGAAATGGTCTTGTCAGACCGAAAGGGCCTAACCCAACAAAACAAACAAAGTTTGAGCAATAGGTAACCCACTCAAAATATGGAATATAAATTAGCGAAGTAATCATCATACACATTCATTATCAAAGAAACGGAATATAATGTAAATTGTCGCATGATAACAAATATAGGTAGGTAACATACATTAAGAAGTATGCTTTACTACCATCATTTAAGTACAAAGAAGTAATTCGTCCTTTGTGCTTTTCAACGGCGTTCGACAAAAGAAATGGCCTCGGCGCTGGTGTTGCGATAATGCAATCATCACTAATTTTGTGAAAAGATCATGTCATTATTCACACAGTTCACTTGGAATTGAAAAGTAATTAGCTCATAGTTGAGTCCACACGAAAATCAATAAATAATTTCATTTATATAACTCAGTTTCAGGCCAATGCCGGAGGTGACCACACTCCTTTATGTGCCAACCATGGGTCGCACGCTGGCCACACACGGTTTCACGGTTGCCTGACTATCAATGGTCTCCCTCCCTCTCCTCGCTGCAATCTGCCAAAGGTCTATTCATCAGCCGGAAAGGCGCCGGGCCAACCAGCCAGCAGCCTCATAGCCGAAGGTCGAGCGAGTCTGTTCAGAGCAATCACCATCCGCCGTGACATCATCTCGTGACGTCACTGACACCGGATCTCTCAACTCCGACGACTCCCGGAAACGACCGGAAGCTGGCGACTTCCGGTCGCCGGGTGGCCGGAGCCCGCCGGCGGGCGATGCAAGCGAGCAGCCGAGAGAGAGCGTGGGAGGCGGCCAGCGCAATCCGGACCCCCTTGACCTTCAAGAGTCCAGCGACCAGCGCTAATACCAAACCGAACCCGAGCCGGACGGATAGCCGATATGTCGCAGTCACATATGCAGAGTCGTCGATGACAGGAGACGTCATATTCGCCGGAAATCCGCGCTCCGCCGTGTACTTAGCGCGGTAATTCAATATGGAAACAATGGTTTAATGTGCCGCCCACACAGCGCAGTTGCGCAGAACGGTTGTCAGTCGTATTGATCACGATATTGTCAGCATCAGCAGTAACCAAAGCTCCAAGATTCGTAAAGAAATAAATGCTAGGTAAAAAGCTGTGATAGGATAATGATAGATGACAGTAAGAGGACTATTGGACGGAGATCGACGACTTATTTTTCGCTCCAATGAGCGCAATCTTGGCTTATTCCCAGTGAGTTGTCAGCCAAAGAAAACGGTTCGGTCAGACCACCGGAAGTGAAGGAAAGATGTTCGGTCAATTTATTGCCCGATGAATATTGGCTGTAGAGAAATAATCCTTAAGCGATCATATTGATGAAGATAACGGCTGTGTAATACAGCTATAATATGCAGTTCGATAAAAAAACGTAAAAAATAGATTGTGGTGCCTACACGAGCTGTGATGGGACTAACGAAAGCAATTTGCATTTTGAAAGTCCATCCCATGCCCAAAATGCCTTGTGCCAGCGGCTAAGTTCCATGATTACGGAGCGAGCGAAGCGAGCGTAGTCTTTCCTTAGATTAACGGAAATTTCTGAGTATGAGCGGCCGGCCGGCCGGCCGGCCGGCCGTGGTCACGCTTTTGCGAGGCTTATATCTCAGCAACCACTTGACCGATTTACACGCGGTAATTTTTGTAGGGTAGCTCCATTCCTTCTACCAAGTATTGGACTATTCCCGATGCATGTGGGTGACCCCTTATGCACGTGCCACGTGCAAAACGAAGAGGTGTCCGTTTTGTAATTGTTGCAATATCTCGGTAACTACTTGGCCGATTGCGCTGAAAGTTGGCATGTAGGTAGGCACCCACTAGGCACTGCATATACACGTGCCAGAGTTGGGGTGCTGCTGCACGTGCGCACGTGCAGGGGTCGTTTCCAGATCTCGGGAACGGCTGGACCGATTGCGCTCAAATTTGGTACACGGTTAGGGACCGGTTAGTAGGGTGCCGTGCACAAGTCAGTTGGGACCCATTTTGCACGTGCGCACGTGCAGAGTGCCGCTTCCAGATCTCGAGAACGGCTGGGCCGATTGTGCCCAAATTTGGCACATCGCTAGAGACCAGTTAGTAGGGTGCCGTGCACAAGTCAGATGGAGGTACCCCCTCGCAATTTCGCACGTGCAAGGCCCACCCTCTCGCTCGCTCCGTTAGTCGCCCCAAAAGGCGTTATACTGGTTATCATGTTCATTGACACATAAGTTCGTTCGGTTTTTACGTTATGCAGCAAACAATATGTTTTCTGTATGTACTTGTATCCCAATACACATTTACCGGCAATTGAGTAGACAAGTAATGTTTCATATCAAGTCATCCTTTAAAGATACAGGTTACAAACTTTGCAACGCGCACACACTGACTAATTTCAACCAGTTAATCGTTCCAAACCGATGGCGGCGATTCACTCACCGGTGTGGGACGGCTCTCTCGCAGAAAACTCTTCAGGTCGCCGCCAGAGAGGAGCTCCAAAACTATGAAGCGCGGGTGTCGCTCGAAGCTGACGCCGATAAAGTGGACGATGTTGGGGTGTACGAACTTGGACATGATCATCGCCTCCATCAGAAAGTCCATCTCCGCCTGCTCCGAGGACAGCTCGGCTAGTGTCTGAGAAAGAAGAGTAGAATTGAGTCGGGTGGAAAAGGTTCTTTCTTTTCAAGCAACTGATAAAAACATTGTAAATGTTTAGGACAGCAAATCATAGAGCAGCAAGCAGCTCAATGATGGCGAATGACTGATTTATGACGACTTAAGCCGGCTGAATATGCTCAGATATTGACTGACTGAGGACTGACCTTGACCGCACAGGGCATCTCAACCGAGTCACTGACGTAGTTCTTCAGGTAGCCCTGGTACACCTGTCCGAACGCCCCTTTCCCGAGCTCCCTGAAACAGAGAGTCCAGTGTCACTGCAACGAACGGGCCCATGTCTCCCCTGCCCATCGAACTATGTAGAAAAATCACGGCTATCACCATCTCTGCATTTGTCTGGAATTAAGTGTTAGGGAGAATCGAGACAAATGCAATATTGGCAACAGGCACTGCCATTGACATATAAATGTACACAAATAACTTCAGTGGGCGCTTAATTTTACCCAGAGCGGACTGAGAGTCATTCCTGGCTCAACTCCACCAATCATTCGTTAGCTGCATTGTTATTTCGCTGCTTCCACCTCCACCGTTCCTCCCAACATACTAGAAGTTCCGTCAACTATGTATTTCAACGAGCGTGATTAGTTATTCCTGGAACATCCCATGGGAGTGCTGCTTCGTCTTCCTCCTTTGCCCCGGTCCCCATCAAATCGGATACTCCCTGGAGTCGGATGCGGACCCGCCGGAACATTTCAGTGAGGCCCGGAGCCGGGGCTGGGTTCTGACTTCTGTATATGTAAGTGTCATGTATGCATACATAACGCACCTACATTCCGTTTCCATAGCCACATGGAGACCCACATCAAGGGCTGGTCACTGGACACGATTGCAACTGACAAGTATGACTGGTCTATCAAGTCAAATTAGATGCGCTTAGGTAAGCCTCAATAAAAATCGACCCTGATTAGTCGCAAACGACGAATGGATCAGCTGCATCCCAGTGATATCAGCCACCAGGGTGTCGATGAAACTCGTTAAGTCTGTCGCCGCTCCGCGCTCGGGTAAGTTCGCCCGTCCGTTCAGTGAAGGGCGGGCACGGTCGGCCACCTGAGCGAATTAGGGCTATTTATACGGCGCTCCGGCGAGCCTCCGGTTCCGAAATAGCATAATCCTCAGCTGTTGCAGCCGTGGCATGTCACCGCTGCCCGCCACCGCATGTCAATGGGTACGGCCAGTCTGTACGAGCCCGAGGGACGACCGGTCACCGGCCACAGTCAGCAACGGCTGACGGTCGGCTTATGTCGGCCTGCTTCTGTCATTGGTACTGTCGGGTCTTCTCAGTACGACTGATGCTGTCTGCAGCACAAAGCTTATGCCGGTCAGCCCCGCTGTCGGCTTACACAGGGGACTGCTTCCTGAGTGCCCCTTGCGACTTTTGTCGGAGTGACCCTCGTCGGTGATTGTCAGGAGTGCCCCTGTCGGCGGCGGCCGCCAGCCGAGGAACATATGACCTCTGGAGTCTGGACCGGCTCGCTGGAGCGGAGCTGTATAATTCGAGCTGCAGTGCCGCAGCCTCCCGGCCAGAAGGCCTCAGCTGCCGGAGTCCGAGCAGGGGATCGATCCCGGCCGGACGGCACTTCCACGAACCTCAAGTAGAGCTTCCCGTTACCAGATGTCAGCACATGCAGATCCATCTCATTGTGCTTTCATGGAGAGTTCCGGTCGCGGCCGTGCGCGCCTTGCTACCGGGACGTGGCGGTGATTCTGCGCATGCAAATCCGCACAAGAGGACTTCTGTCCAAGTGCAGGCTTTTTGTTTAAGCCGCACCAGCACCACTTATAACGGACCAGGCTCGGAAAAAATAAGATGAGTGAGCCGCGTTTAAATAGCATTGATATCTGGAGAGAAACGTCTACGGCGGCCAGGGTCAGTGTGGGCCTTGGGGAGACGGATACACATTTATGCATATGATATGGAATATGGATAGCAAGCGGTACCTATAGCGTGTAGTATTCCCCGTTTTTGTCCAACGACGCACCATTGATAACATAAATACCTACAGATCTTTCATCATATGTTTTAGAGAAGGATACTGGCACACAATGAATGTAGAAGGTCTGACCTGATTTTAGTCAGTGGACGGCGCTGGTGAAAAGGAATTGAGTATTACAGGGCATGTGTCGGCGTAATCAGTGCAGACATCGATGATTGAGCGGGTAAGTCTCACGCGCTACCCAGAAAAACAAAAGAGAAACGAAAGCTTCTCTCCCAACACTATGGATATATAGCAAAAAAAAAGTCAGTATTGTACATACTTGCGGCAACAATTGATATGCATTATCCGAAATAAGGAAGCAGGGACAGGAAATCTTGCCTGACACGCTTTCCTTTCTCACGACTGTAATCGTTTAAAAAAAGAGTTGATACCTCCAGTGCTTTCAGAATCTTAGCCATTTTCATTTTTTCAGCATTACGACTATTATAAACGAACGACCTCTAGACTTCAGGATAATTATAAAAAAACTGATAACCTGACATGAGATCGCTAAGGCTTTAATTTTTTTTTTCAGGAAAAATGCCAAATAACTAGATGCTGTATAGAATATATGACCAATTAAACGGCGCTACACAGAGTCGCCGTTTTTACACTGTCTGTGAAAAGCCTTAGGGAGATGACCCCTGGCGACTTTTCCAGATCTCTTTTGGTATCAACTTCTTTCTTAGCTCAGGTCATGGCACTGACCATATGAAGTAACGAGTTATCCTCTGGTTAGTAAAAAATCGCAACTTAGCTAAAGAAAACTCGCTAAGTACCAACTACCAGGCTGCGGAAGGCAGCACTGCAGATGCAATCAACAATACCCTCGGATAACGTATTTTAGGTGCAAGCTATCCGAGACGATACCTTCTCGTTTGAGAATCGATGACGATGACGACTCATGAGGCTTCGCTGTCTCATCAAACTTTTTGTTATAGAAAATCGCTTTTGTTCTGCATTTTGATTTCGTTATACGTGCTTATGAATGACAGGGCACTGCGCTGCCTGTATTGTATGTATATTGTTTATGTGTGTCAATGTGTTTCCCTCTGTAATGCCCACCGAATGGTGGTTAGTGGGAATATGAAATAATAATAAAATAATAATAATACATTTTACAGCGATGCTACATATTCCACAAGAACTAGGTAACGGATCGATGGGTTTTAATAATAATAAAAAGTAACTGTTCTACCGAAATGATAAGAAGGTTTGAAGAGAGTGGCGGCGAATTCATGTACTGCCGCCGGGCGGTACTCACTTTACTAGCGTAAGGTTCTGTCGCGGTATCTCGCGCAGGTCCTTGGTGCAGGGCAGCGCGCCGCCGAACTCATAGTTGGGGTTGTACTCTGTGAGAATATCTCCTGCCGAGCCGCGGAGTCGATTCAGCTGCAGACCGCCACTGGCCAGGTCACGACGCCGGCCCATCACCTTCTTACGCTGATACACGTTGTCTGTCGGCCGGGAAAACGGCAGTCATCAGTGAACATTCAGTTCCAGGCACTCAGCATTTGGGACAGTTTTATGTATATTTGTTACATATTTGACAGCTTGGACAGCCGCGTAACGACCAAATGTGCTATACGATGCATTGCCATATACCTATGTGCTTCCTCGTAGACTAAATGTTCGCACTTGTTAGGTGATGGAACCTTGTCTGATCGTGTCAGGATGAACGGTGCTCAAAGCGAATGAACCAAACCAATGAAATAAAAATTGTTTTGTGCAGGGCTTCAGAAAGGGTAATATCCTATCCACAGTACACAGCAACAGTTAATAAGATACCGGATGCAGTCTATTATTTGTTTCATAACCTGCTCCCCATCAGGAATGTATTATGAAAGTTAGACTGTGCCGCACTACTTTCGTGCCCTCCGGGACAGCCTATATACCAATCCACTTCAAAGTCTCATCAAACATCCGGGGCCCGATTTCACCAAGTGAATATATTCTTGGTGTACTTTGGAAAAGTACACCGACAAAGTACAACGATAATACTATTCGGTTTCGCCACAGGAATATATTCAATACGCCCGCTTTACGTACGTACTTTGGAAGCCACCGGCGCGCATGCATATATCTTTTCTTGTCGGGGACATGCAGTCACTATATTTTTCCGTATTTAAAGTCGACGAGCTTAAATGCTCAGATATACAATATTATGGAAAAAATTTCTAGCTACGCTAATAAGAATTAAATTTGCTGATCATACAAGAGGAAGTACCTAAACAAATATTGCTAATAATGCTCTTGATTTTTGCTGGGAGCACGACATTCCAAAGCATGTTGCCGCAGCAGTTGACCAGACCTGCGGGCCACTGGGAGCAGCCGATCCAAGAACAGCTCCGGCCCCAGTATCCGGAGAGAACACCGGCCTGGTGGGCCCCTCCCACTCCCATCGGTGCACCTCCGCCCCAGTTCTGCCAGCAACCGCCTCCAATGGCGGCTCCGCAGCAGCAGCAGCCTGCTGCTCTTCGTCAACCACCGCAGTCCCAGCACCTAAGGAACGAGCCGTCGCAAGGAGATTGCGATCAGGCACGCTTTCGCTCTGAGACGTGGCCGAGCCTACCGCGTCAGCCGGAACCAGAGCAGCGCCCAACCGTCCCGTCAGTCGGCGCAGCTTCAGCTCCCCCATCGTCCTGCAGCTACGGCAACCGATGCTGCCTCGGCTGCCGGCTCTGAGGCGACTGGACGAGCGACTCCAACCTCCTGCGGACAATGCCAGCTACGTATTGGGTGCTACAACTGCGAGGGATTCATGAGTGCCGCCGACTACATTGCTGATCTCGTCACGAGTCTAAACGTGCTGTTCCTATCTGAAACTTGGATGTGTAGTGCGGAAGAAACTTTACCGAGTGGCGTTCTTGGGAGCTTTGGCGTGGGTGACGTTGACATTTTTCAGACATTTGCAATGGAGCTGCCACCCGGGGCTGGCGAGGGGCGCCGGCATGGAGGGACGGCCATGATATGCCGCCGAGACAGCCGATTCTCATTCTCCCAACTACAGTGTGAGAACGATAGACTTTTAGCAGTGCAGATGGTGTGTGGCGGAGCACCGCGTCTCACCATAGTTGGCTGCTACATGCCCTACTTCACTGGGACTCCGGATCAACTAGAACTTTATATGGACCTGTGCGCTAGTCTTGAAGCCCTCATAGATACGCATAGGTTTTCCGCGCCGCTCATGCTAGTCGGAGACTTCAACTGTCCTCTCCCGTGTCTCCCGCCGGCAACCCGTCCTCGCCAGTGGGCAAAGCTGCGCGGATTCACCCCCTTCAGCCAAGCATTCCAGCGACTTCTGGATGAAAGAAGCCTTACAGTCGCTGAGTTCCGCTTCTCTCAGCCAGTGAATTTCACGTATGAACGCGGCGGTCACACGTCCCACATCGACCACATCATCGTGCCTGGCAAACTTGCAGATGAACAGCTTCTGTCATGTTGTATCATCCCGCCTTCTTATGACAACCTCAGTCCCCATCTGCCTATAACATGTACTCTTCTGCTCCAAATAAACGGTGAAGAGAGGGAAAGACCAGCGCCGCGAGACCACTCCAGTTCTCACCGCACGGTACTGGATTGGAACAATTCCGACAGGAATCAAAGGTACTGTGAACTGCTCTCCACGCAGCTGGAGACAGTGGTCCAGCCAAACCTCAGCGCCGATCAGATAGACTGCCTCCTGACGTCAGCCATCCATCAAGCTGCAGCTGAGGCCGGCTGCTCTCGGCCCCGAAGACCGCCAAAGTCCTGGTGGAGCCCTTCAGTGTCGGCAGCACGGGACCGGGCGCGCCTGTGGCATCGCATTTGGACTCACGCCGGTCGACCACGGAATACGGTCCTGCACAACTGCTTCAAAGTTGCGCGTCGTTCATACAGGCAGGCCCGGGTCGATGCAGCACGTGCCCAGGTTGATAACAGCGCAAATCTCCTGTCATCGCTGCGTCAGAAGAAGGACATCAATTCGTTCTGGCGCCGTGTAGAGCAGGCTCGACGTGGCTCGGGCGGTTTGCGCTCCTCGCTCACGGCGGACAGCCTCGAGGCCCACTTCCGCCCCATTCATACGGACGAGGACACCCTCTCTGCAGCCCAAGATGATGTGCGCACCCGAGTAGAAGCCCTGCTGTCCCAGGCGAAAGAAGATCCTGGCCCCGCTAAGCGCGTCACTGCAGGAGATGTAGCTCGCTTGATCCCGCAAATCAACCGCAACGCATCACCAGGACCGGACGGCGTCACCGCTGAGCATCTTGTCTACGGCTCTTCAGGACCACTGCACGAGGCTATCGCCTCTCTACTCTCTGCCTGTCTCGCTGAAATGCGTGTCCCTGTCAGTTTCACATGCAGCACAGTGGTGCCTATCATGAAGAAGACCGGACTGGACCCCGACTCTGCCGATAGCTACCGCCCCATCTCTCTCGTGTCGACTATCTCCAAACTTCTGGAACTGATCCTTCAGGAAGAGATCGACACGTCATTTGAGGCCTCTGAACTTCAGTTTGGGTTCTTAGGGCATAGGGGCACCAGCGAAGCGTCTATGCTTGTACACGAGACCGCGCAACATTACCTATGCTATAAACTCCCGCTGTTTGCAGCTAACCTCGATGCTAGGAAATGTTTTGATCGTTTGTGGCATGATGGCGTCCTCTTCCGAGCGAGTGAGCACCTCCCACGCCGGAGCTGGGCGCTTCTGGCCTATTGGTACTCTCACCTGTCAGCCCGAGTACGTTTTGGTGGGAAGCTGTCAGACGCCTTCTGTGTGCGCCGAGGAGTGAGACAGGGTGCGCTTTTATCGCCGTGCCTCACCAATATGTTTTTGTACCCGCTCATCCAACAGCTCGATGACTGTCGCTTGGGCGCCACGCTGTATGGCCACCACATCCCAGCAGTTGCATATGCTGATGATATTCTGATTATGTCTAGTAACGCACGCGATCTTCAATCAATGCTTCATATCGTCTCCTCCTTCTCAGTGTTGTGGAGGATAGATTTTGTACATGTGAACCAAAGCTTGACCAAGAGTCACAGCTTTATATTCGGGGCCGAGTTCCTCTCTCGGACGCCTCAGTGGCAGCTATGCGGACAGATCCTGAAGCACCGACAGGAAACCACACACTTGGGTGTTGAGCTGCGCTCCCAGCTGCACGGTGCCGATCAGGTGACTGCCCGAATTCAGCGGAGCAGGGGTGCGTTCTTTGGCCTAACGCCGGCCGGCATGTTTAATCAGCACCTCTCCGCTGTTGATAAGGCATTTCTATGGCGGATGATTGTCGCTCCTGTTCTGATTTATGGATGTGAGGTCTGTTTTTTAAGCTCTGGAGATATTGCTCGCCTCGAAGGCTGGCAAGCCTCGGCGGTCAAAAGCGCGCTACGCCTACCGCGCACTGCCCACCACTCCGCACTAATGGCGGCACTTCGCATCCCAAGTGTACAAGCTCTCGTCCGGCGGTCTATTTTTCGCGCTACTCAAAACGCTTTTCGTGGCCAGCACCGCCTCCGTTGTGTGCTGGTGAGTAGCCTGGCCCAGTTGGCGACCAATGCGAGATTCGCGGAAACATCTGCTTCTATTGTGTGCCATCTAATGTCGCTATGTGGGGGAAACTTCATGAGGGTACTGGAGGCTGCCAGCGGTCATATACACGGAGACTGGGTGCACACGCCCAGGCCCGAGTGTGGCCTTGCAGACTCGCTCAGCTGGCTGATGGACAGCAACAGCGCCGAGTCATGGCAGCTAGTAAGGCTGCTTGTAACAATACATCCAAACTGATTCTCCTAGTCCGTCTGATGTAAAAAGCTGCCCGTGCTTTGCAAACGTGGCTTTGTTGTGCCGTGCTGTGTTTGTATCTTCATGTGTCACGGTTATGTTATGAAGATATGTTCTCCTTGTTTTGTCCTCAAAGGATGTCAAATAAATATGATGATGATGATGAAAGCCAAAAATGTAAACAATCGGCAGCAAGCCGCGCAGCACAGTTGACGTTACTGGCGTGTGTGGGTTTTATTGGATTTTGAATTGATATTAATTTTTTCTTCCAAGTTACTTCTCATTAGATATTGCTTCAATATTTGTTCACATCTTCTACGCAATTCTGGAGTGGTTCAAAGCAAATATAAATAAAGTCGAACAAGAAATGGCATTACTTGAGGCACCTATCTTATACCTATCTAACTACCGATCACTGACGATAGCAAGGAGCACGGCCGACTAGCCGACAAGTTATCTGAAATATTACTTGAATCAAGTTTTTAAATAATCGAAGGGTCTACCGACGACTTCAAATATGGAGAATATTTCGGAATCATTCGGCAGACTGAACCTGAACGGAAGCGGGAAGCCGGTGATAAATTGAATCATTTGGCCACAACACACACAAAAAAATATGGACATTGGACAGCATATGGGTACTGCAAAGAAATAGCAAAAGTGGGCGATGAAAACGAATGTAAACGAATGCGTTGTGACTTGTGATGCAACATGCTGGGCATGTCAACAAGGCGTTGCTGGACTGGACTTCAGTCCTTCCTCTCGCCCTCGCCAGTTATTTACTTCCTCTTCGGTAAAACGCTGTATAAAGAGCACGGTGTAATAATCACGGTGAGATAGATTTGTAACGCTTTTGGCCTTTTGTGTTATCAAAATACAATGTGAACTGTCGTTTTTTTTTTAAGTGGAAAACTCAATGCAATTGGGAATGCGAATGAAAAAAAGGAATTCCCTTTTGTGTTTCTGCATGATGGGGTGATTTTAATCGCAGTGATGCCACGATGAGATAAGCCTTATAAAAATAGCTGTTCTGGGGTTTAATTTCAATATAAGCCCTGACACACGGTACCCTATATATCCAGCAAGAAATAACCATTATGACATCAAAAACTTTTTGCGTAGCCTGTGGCATGTTTTTATCATACGTTGCATCGACGAAGTCATTAAATTTGTAACATTATCATACAAAAAAATTGATGTATGCCAAGCTGTTTCTCAAAGTATGCCACAAAAAGTAGCATACTTTCAATGCCAGCAAACTCGGCAAACAGCTGTTGAAAAAGCAGATCGGCGTACCAGAAGTACCTCAAATGTAATAGCATGCCAAAAAACAACGGACTTATGCAGTCACAAGATGCAGTCATACTTTGTCTTTGTCTTGAATAAGTATCCCTGTACGGAGTTTAGTGAAACTGAATATGTCATAATATGCCAAAAGTGAATATGTACGCCGCCGTAATGGAATATATTCACTTGGTGAAATCGGGCCCGGGTAGCATATCCTAGGTCGGCTATCTAGGTGAGTGCTTTCACAGTTGCAATCCAGATATATGGATGGCATACAGCAGAAGACATGGAAGCTGACTGTTCTTACTCAAAAGAAGGGCGATCTAAGACTAACAAAAAAAACTTGTTATTACGGAGCGAGCGAAGCGAGCGTAGTCTTTCCTTAGATTAACGGAAATTTCTGAGTATGAGCGGCCGGCCGGCCGTGGTCACGCTTTTGCGAGGCTTATATCTCAGCAACCACTTGACCGATTTACACGCGGTAATTTTTGTAGGGTAGCTTCATTCCTTCTACCAAGTATTGGACTATTCCCGATGCATATGGGTGACCCCTTATGCACGTGCCACGTGCAAAACGAAGATGTGTCACTTTTGTAATTGTTGCAATATCTCGGTAACTACTGGGCCGATTGCGCTGAAAGTTGGCATGTAGGTAGGCACTCACTAGGCAATGCATATACATGTGCCAGAGTTGGGGTGCTGCTGCACGTGCGCACGTGCAGGGGTCGATTCCAGATCTCGAGAACGGCTGGACCGATGGCGCTTAAATTTGGTACATGGCTAAGGACCGGTTAGTAGGGTGCCGTGCAAAAGTCAGTTGGGACCCATTTTGCACGTGCGCACGTGCAGGGTGCCGCTTCCAGATCTCGAAAACGGCTGGACCGATTGTGCTCAAATTTGGCACATCGCTAGAGACCGGTTAGTAGGGTGCCGTGCACAAGTCAGCTGGAGGTACCCCCTCGAAATTTCGCACGTGCAAGGCTCACCCTCTCGCTCGCTCCGTTAATCGCCCCAAAAGGCGTTATACTGGTTTTACAGATGTTATGTCGTGAAAATCTCAGTTCAGTTCATATGCTTTTTTTTGCATATAAATGCAAGGTAAATAAGCGTACAATAGTTTTACCCGTCCCACGAGCCACTTATGGATGCTCCTGTACCAGCCAGCCTGTATGGATACTCACAATAGCAGCCGGCCAGGCTCCCGACGACGGCCAGGAACACGGCGGCCAGAGCCACGAATAGGATTCGTGACGTGTTGGACCACTGCTGTCGATGGGGCAGTCCTGGCGGACCTGGGGGCAGGGGTCACAGGTCAGAGGTCAGGTCACACCTCTGCTGACCGACCTCTGCTGTCGCTGGGGGCTGGGGAGCAGAAATCACCGATCAAAAATCAAACCTGCTGGCGTAAATCAACTTACGTTAGAGAAGGTGGAAAATTGAAAAGTGAAGCAAGACTCAAAATGGTCCAATTTTGGGGATTTCGTGAAATGGTAGGAGCTGACCAATATCAATTTGGGCTTGGATTGATTAGAAAACGGTTTGTTGAGTCCACATTTTGCCACTTCTATGTTCTGCAATCTACATGTAACAAATTGGACATCTGTCCAAAGCCAGTGACAAATTACATGTTTATCCTGTGACAATCTATTTTGTGCCTCAGCAACCAGCCGTTTTACAATTCCCTGTTATTTATTTTCTTATACTACAGCTGTGCCACCCGAGGACGCCGACCGGCCGTGATCTGCGCGCGGCGCCCCTGATGGCTGACTGCCCCTGATGGACCGGGGCGCGTGACTGTGACCGGATTGTGACGGGTCATCAGCCAGCCGGGGGCCTCGTTAGTGGCTGGCGGCACGACCCCGGGGTGGCCGGCGCGGCGGCACGGCAGGAGACACGGACACAGACATAGCCGGCAGGAGACACGTTCAGCGCTGCTCACAACGCCGGGGACATGGGAAACGAGAGCTGGGAAACGGGAAACAACTGACACAGGACACGGGAACTGAGAGACACAGCACGGAAAGTAGAGAAGTAAGGAATGGAGACGGTGAACTGGAGATATGGAAAGCGGGAATTAAAGGCACGGGGCACGGAAATCAGAGGCCTAAGGCACAACGAACGAGAGATAGAGGCTCGGAAAGTATGTATGTGGGACACGGAAATGAGAGATATGGGACTTAACCCTCGCATGTGTAGGGGGGGGGGGTCGGATGGACCCCCCCCCATGGTTTTTCGCGAATAACTCGCGTAAAAAGCGGCCGATCGCGACGAAACTTTCAGTACCCTCGCATTGATCAATTTTACACCTACCCTGAAAATTTCATGACCCTGACCCAAATGACCTTTGACCTGTGACCTCTTTTCCGAGACCATGTTTGGCCGTAATCGCGATTTCGCGTATGTCGGCTCGCACTAGCCGCGTGTTTGCAAGCTTTTCGTGGTTTCAAACGTTCAAACATGTGATTTGATGTTACTCCCGTGTGTGTCAAGGTCACCTGAAGGTCAGGTCAGGTCATTGACCTTTGGTGACCTCGGGTGACCTCGGGTCACTTTTTCGAGTTTTACATGTTTCTAGGCTAGTTTTTGGAGCTGAATTCGAATTTAGCAACCATTTGAACATTTACGAAGTAGTTTTGGTGACTTCGTAACATGTTACGAAGCTGTCAGAGGCGGTTGACACGTACTACGAATACCCGTCACGACGCCTACTGGTTGACCTGACCTGACCTGACCCGACCTGGTCTAAATGCTTCAAGACATCATCTGTGATCAAAACTAACACGATATTCGTGATCAGCACCCCGAAAAACCCCTTAGCAGCCACACTTTACGACTTTCTAACAGGTCCCGATTTTCCCGACTTTGGGTCATTGACCTGACCTGGAAGGTCAACCAATGACCTAGGACCTTAAAATTGGGTATCATCGGCTTCCTCTCGTCACGGGCAACACGCTCGTTTTTTCCGCGAAGCTCTAGCTCGATCAGGGGCCAAACGGCAAGGGGGGGGGGGTCCAACCGACCCCCCCCCCCTACACATTAGAAGCTGGAAAACGCCGCACACATGCGAGGGTTAATTTACAATAGTTAGTAAGTGGGATTAGGCAGCTGTTTCGACTTTCACAAGGTCCGGTTTACCCGAATATTAATCATACAAATAGTATGCAAGCTGGCATGCCGACAAACTCACAAACAAGCGATTGCTGTAAATTACGTATTCAGATCGCATTTAGTAAGATGGGCTTCAGCTAAATTTAGCTCAGTGATTCATAATTAATACCGTAATTTTATCCCGCATAAAAGTAGCAGCTAAAAATAACAATCACTGATCAGGCTGCTCTCCTAGTTGCTATCGGACCGGGGCGTATTCCTCAGGTCATATCCACCAAGCGATTAAAACCCACGGTGTTAGATCAAAGCGCGGGCCTTGCCTCTTTTTCAATAGGAAGGTCTCTTCATATCGAATCATTATGCCGGGCTACGCGATCAAACGAACTTCAATGAAAAAAGACGCAATATCGCGCAGCTTCGCCGATCAGATTGGCATATTGATTATGTGCGTTAGTGGATCTCAGTTATAAGGATCTTGTCGATTATATTGCTTGGAAAGAGATTGGATTTTATAGTCCCGATTTAAGCCGCATTCCATTCGAACTAAGCTCTTGAAAAGGCTATTGGAAGACTGATGAAGGGCTATCAAGAATGTGCTTTTAATGTTTTTGAAGGCCGAACAATTATTATAGCTTGCCTATACAGTGATACACGGAAACAAACTAAAGAAATCGAACTACCTTAGTGAGCAATCGTCGCTCGGAGGTATATTTTCCATAACATGTGCACCAACTGCGAAATGTGTAGTGTATATGCAGTGGAGCAACATCGGCAACCTTTTGCCAAACAATAAAATACTGACACAGTATTTTACAGTGACCGCAACGTAAGGTAGATCTCAGTACATGACCGTGCAACCACACGTTCCATTCTCCTGCTGAGAAAAAAAACCATGCCATTTTCCCATTTGTATTGTATTGACGACAGGCGACAGCGTTCAATTACACACACTGCTATACACGAGCTGATTTGAGCAAGGCTGATGGGCGTTTGGGGAAAGACACCGCTAAGCCCTAGCTCCAAAATTTTTGCCAGAGACTGATCAACTGACACATCATTCTAATCTTCAATAGTTTTCGGTCATCGCTGCAGGTTTAATCCAAGATCTCAGCTGCCTAGCTGCGCGGCCGTCCATCAGACCGTCCACTGTCCAGTCCTCACTCTCCCGACATCCAGCTATCCTCCGTGTCCCGCTGCTGGCGAACCTGCTGCGCCAGTGCCATCAGCGGCTGCAGCACGCCTATGATGTTGCTGACGGACTGGTTGCTCGACGGGCCCTGCTTCGCCCTCCAGTTGTACTCGCGGCCGGCCTCGATGCCCAGCGAGAGTGCCGAGCAGAGCGGCAGCCGCGGCAGCTTGCCGTACGGCCGGACCTTTCCGCTCAGCGCCAGGTCCTTCAGCACGTTCAGCGGCCGCCAGTCACCGCTCAGCAGCTCGCGGACGCCGTTGACGGCCGTCGCGGCGTGGAACTCGCTTTCCGTCATGCGGTGGCCGTCCTTCAGCAGGGTGTGACCCAGGTCGGTCACGGGCCGGCCCAGCCAGTCGGCCAGCAGCGCCAGGCCGGCGGGCAGCAGGCGGCGGCGCAGCTCGGCCACGGCCGCCGCCAGCTCGGCGCGCTCGGCGTCGCTCCGGCTGGCCAGTAGGTTTACCTCTGGCCAGAAGTAGCAGGGCAGGTAGCCGCGGGCGAGGCAGACATCCAGGTAGCGCAGGATCAGCAGCAGCGAGTCGTGCATCGTCTCCACCGTCCACTGATCTGCGGCACGAGACTCGGCCAGCCACATCAGCGCCGTCTTCAGGTAGTAGCTCTTGAGGGGCTTGGCGACCTCGCCAACCACCGCCCGGCAGTGTTTCAGCGTCGTCAGACACAGCCGCTGTATCTTAGTCATCATCCTGTAGATGATGTATTCGTGCCTAGAGAAGGACAGCCTCCACTCCAGTTCCTCCGTAGCGCTTCCTTTGAATCCCACAGGTACGATAAATGCCGGAGTCCGACACAGGCGCGCAACCAGTTCGGCATTCGGATAGCCGGAGGGCCGCTGACGGGTGGCGAAGTCCTCGTGAGGCCAGCTGGGATACAGGAGGCACGCCACCAGGTCGATGGACTTGGGGTCCTCGAAGATATCGTTGATGGTGGTGGCGACGGAAGGACCGGTCTGAGCCGACCCACACCTGGTCATCTGCCTCCGGAGCTCGTCCATGAGGCTGACGAACCGGCGTGGGTCCACCGGTAGAGCGTCCGGATGACGGCAGGACGGCCGCCGAGGGTAGTGCAGGACCATGAAGCCCGGCTGAGAGGTTCGACGCTGAGTGGCGAGCAGTCCTGTCGATATTCCCTCCAGAGATGGATGCACGTCAGCTTCTTGACTTGCTGATGAGGTCACTATACGCGCTGGTCCCAGCTGGAACATCACATCAATATCGGACACTTCCTCGGAAAACAGTCTCACGTCGGTGCACTCGCGAACACTGCCGGACAGGTGGATCTTCTCCACCCCCAGGCCGGTGATGGCTTCACAGGCGCAGGTCCCCGGACTCGGTGTCAGAGGCAGCGGCAGCCGGGCGCCATCCATACAGAACGTGGTGACCAGAGTCTGCTCGCTACTGGCGATGTACTCAGCGTGGTGGTCGCTCAGGTCTTGGAGGTAAGGCAGAAAGAGGAGGGTGCCGTACAGGGCCGAGTGGCTCTGCAGTGCAGGCTGCCCAGCCAACCAGTCCGCCGCTTCCCGCTCGTACTGTTCAAGGCATGCGCGGTGCTTTGAGCCGTGATCACTTGCTTCTGCCATCGCGGCTTGGTTCTAGCGCATACCTTGAATGCTTCCACAATTCCGTCGTGTTTGTTGTCAGTCCTTACTCAATACGGCACTTCGAGTGATTTTTGATAAACTAGCGACTGTAGCCATCCTAGTTACAGCTGCACTAAGCTGCCAAACTTCAGATGGAACCCTCTTCAATTGAGTCCCATCACGGTCTCTCGGCGACTCAAACACACTCGAGAGCACGAGCCCAATCGCCTGCACCCTCCGCTACCGCGGCCAGACCAGCACTGACTCAACTCAATCAGACCGCTCACAAAGCCCAGCCGGCCGCCGGGAGTCCCAATGACGTCAGCACTCGTGAAAGGCAAACAGACTCGTTTATCGGGACGGCTAGTGTTTCCGAGAGACGCGCCGCATGCAGCGGCATTCGGTGCAGGGGTACGACGCAAAACGGCACCTACGGTAGAGCAGAGTGCGGTGAACTGCACGGCCGGAGAGCACGCAGCTGCACATTGTGTATTCAAGATAGGCGTGCAGGTCTGTCGCTGCTCTGCGTTCTTGTTAGAGTCGTGCCTCATATGGAAACACCTAAAATGCAATGAGCCGAACATGAATACGCTTACGTATACTGAAGAGCACGTATTCTGGCCATGCAAACTCAATACCTACACATAATGAATGCCTCACGCCCTCACAGCCTGTTTGGGACTTGCATAGACACGTTTCGATATCATACATCCGGAGTCACGAGGTTTTCCTTATCGTCGTCATACGTATCCTACAACATAAAAACAAACAAACAGAATGATAGCGCACTGTGAGGACAGCTAATACCTACAAGCCTGATAACGTAGCTATATGTTTCTGAAATGAGCCACCGCGGGGAAAACCCCGATGATTAGTTGTGAAATGCTTACACAGACATGTACTCTGTTCGTCCGCATGTATCGCCATCGCAGGAATCGCATGTATTTCGGAATATCCTCCTCCGTTGCACACTTTAAGCGGAAATCCAATGTCGTCCACGCTGACCGACAGTATCGGTCACTGCGCCGTCCGACGCCGTGTCGTCCGCGGGACGGTCCGTCGCTCCGCCGTCGCTTGGCATCAGTCGCCGGAAGCCGTGTTGTTCCGCTTGTGTCCATCTCGTGTTGTGTCGCAGTTCCACACAGATCGCTGGAGCGCCGCAGCGGCCGCTGAGGCGTGAAACGCGATCGTCAACGGAGCGCGAGCGGCAAATCAGACTGTGATCCTCCGCTGTTGTCCGAGACGGTTGTCCCGGAGAGCGATAAAGGGTTCCAGCGAGGTGGAATTCAGAGAGATGTTGGGGTCGAGGTGCATGCCGACATATACCATCATTATGGTATCCATGCTTCTTGAGTGGCGTTGGAGGTTGAACCTCAGGGGAGGGGAGGGGGTGTTAACCCCTGGCAATTTCCTTGCAATTGCTCGGAACGCGTTCGTTAGCGACGGGAAGCTGAAAGTTGACATACCTGACCATTATTTCAAACGGTTCTGTGATACTAATGCCACTTTCAGGCCAGGTCAGGTCACTGGCTTATGACGTCATATGTGAACTTCTGCATGGTTTAAAAATACCGTAACATCTCAATGCTTTCAGTGGGATTTTTCGCAGGGAGATAAAACCTTGTGACAACGGGCCTCTGTATAGCTGCAGCCTGCAACTACCCGGAGAAAGATGACAACGCGTCGGCAGAGCGGTCTGTAACTAGCGAGTGGTACCGCTACCGTCCTGTTCCCAGGAGGTGGCGAGGCAGGGCCGCCGGTACACACCGGCCAGCCGCGGCGTTCCCGGGCCGGTGGCGGTTTTAATCTGCTCCAGATATAGCGACCACCGGCGACCCGCGATCGCAGGGCCGCTCGGCGGCGGAGGTGCCGATCGGCCGGGGCGTCCAATTCCCTCCCGTATCGCTCATAGCTGCCCGTATCGATTACGAGAGGCGGCGGCGGCGCGCGGCTGACCGCGGGCGCGCGCGAGTGACCGCGTCCCTTCCCTCCCCGGCCGGCAAGGCCCTGCTCCTGCTGCCTGCATGCAGGCGATCTGGAGGCGGCCGGCCGGCCGGGTCGGCGGTAGCCGGACGGCAGACGGCTCTGACAGCCAAAGCGTCGGTGGGTTATGTGGGCCGCAGCGAGACGTTCTAGGAGAAATGGTCTTTTATGACTGCCTCGTAAATGTAAATTTTGTCGGAAAAATTCGCTCCACTCAATTCCGTTCCAGCTGCTGCTAAGCGAAATAGGAATTGAACGGGATCGATGCTGAATGGAGAATAGGAGACAAAAAAGATTGTCTCTCGACAAAAGCGGGATTACATTTTTATAAGAGCCGGATGGGATGCTAAGGTGGGGGCTGGAAGGAATGATTCGTGCCATCAGACCTATACGGATGCAATTTACGCTTGGCAACTACAGTTCACCCATAAATATACGTGCTATACATGGGAAAAACATTCCCGTTGAAAAAGAAAACAGTAGCCTCAAACAGTCACTATTAAAAGCTTTTAGCAATACATAACCTTCAAACCAGTCCCTTCTGAGCAATGCGCAATAAAGCTTAATTCCTTTTGTCTTTAATGTTCTAGTTTGGTATTGATTCGCCAATCGCCAGATGGTCTTTTGTTGTAACTAATTCAGACTCAGAGACCATCACAGGCAAAAACGGGCTGAAACCTTTCAAGTCGTTCACCTCACATGTATGATGTTCAACGACTACAGACGTCGACTTTTTTCCTATTTAAGAAGTGAAACGTTGAACGCTCATTTCTTTTTCGGTAAGCTGGGTGGACAGCTGGTAATGCAGCTTGCATGCAGGTACAGGTTATATCAGTAGCCACTGAAAGCCTTTATGTCGTTGGCGAGTGACGGTGACAGTGTGACAATGGGTGACCCACCTTGGCAGGAGCGTTTGTCATCCATCAGCGTCCAGTTGTCCCGGCAGATGCAGCGCACCGAACTCATCTGGCTGTTGATGGCCACACACAGGTGCTCGCACTGACAGCCCTGCCAAACGTGTGATAGAAGGTTAGTGCGCACAGCACAATAGATTTAATGGATGTGCCTGTGTGAAATCGCTTCGGTAATTTGAATGTTGTTTCATCGATTTTACATCCACGCTAAAAAAGTCTACTAAGTCAGCTAAGTCTAGTAGTATCTAAGTCAGAAAATAAGCTAATAAAGTATAAATCTTTTGGAAGTATAAAAAAGTAAACTTATAGAAATAAGTGACGGGATGACAGCTAGCGAGACGCCTTGTCAAACGGATGTCATTTGTCGAGCTTGTTCAGTTATCAACCTGCATACCACACACACCACATCGCGTGTCTCATTAAGCTTAACAAATCTATGATAGTCTTCTGTATAAACATTTATCTGGTGGCACACTGACAGAAGCGAATACAAAACAGCAAACCACTGTGCCGATAACATCATTTTCTGCGCCACTGCGTCGTACATTTGGTTTCCTTATTTCCTTATTTACCACGCAATATCCATTCAACTATGAAGTCGTCAATAGCTACAGGCGACACGAGGCGATGTAAGTGGATTTCTGAAGCGGCGCCTGTCCCCAACAGACACCCTGTCGCGGGGACGCATCCGGTCTATCTGAGGGCCGCCAATCGCCGATGCAATATCTCCAGAGAGGCGCGGGGCTCCACCGCCTCCTCCGCCGCTACCTACCGTCGTCAGCGCCCATCGCCCGTCTCATCAGGGCAATTACAGCCCATCAGCGACATTGACTGTGTCACCACGCGGCCAATGGCGGCGCGGCGAGCGTCCCAATCACTGACTCAAGTGGAATAATCAGAGTCGGGCGGAGGTGCCGCCGCCGCCGGCCAGTCGATAGCAGGAGTGTATTAAGTGTCGAGGACACCCAAACAGAGTCGGAGTGCAGGGCACAGCGGAAAACAGAGACGTAGAGTCGAGGTGAAGGAGACGCACTTAGGAACTTGTGCAGTGCAGTTACAACATCAAGGCATTAGTGTCTTTATGTGAAAACAATTACAAGTGTCTCAGTTTCAAATTTTATCCCAGCATGTTTTTCTCGGCGTCCGAAATATGTGTATTATCTACTTCCTATTCGTTCTGTCGGACCAGTTGTTTATTCTGCATCTGTAACACGCCAAGTTCCGGGAACCGTCGGCTTGTTTGCCTCGTTTTCTGTCTCTTCTAGCAGCGCATCAGTCAAGGCTGCTGCCTATTACCGTCGATCCAGCTGCCTAGAGTGGATATTTGCCGGTCGTAGTCGGACTAACAGCAGCGACTCGCGAGCCACCCGCTTGGGTGGAAAACAGAAACGGTGCAAATGAAGCGCGAGGTCTCTCTCTCTCTCTCTCTCTCTCTCTCTCTCTCTCTCTCTCTCTCTCTCTCTCTCTCTCTCTCTCTCTCTCTCTCTCTCTCTCTCTCTCTCTCTCTCTCTCTCTCTCTCTCTCTCTCTCTCTCTCTCTCTCCCTCTCTCTCTCTCCTTCTCTCTCTCTCTCTCCCTCTCCCTCTCCCTCTCCCTCTCCCTCTCCCTCTCCCTCTCCCTCTCCCTCTCCCTCTCCCTCTCCCTCTCCATCTCCCTCTCCCTCTCCTACCTTGAAGGCCGGTATGATGTGCACCTCCCCTGGGCCGATGTGACTGGCCGGATCTACGACACGGTACAGTCCAGATGTGTAACTGGTGCCGCCGCGACCACTCTTGTCCACACCATCGATCGTGTCTCCTCCTGGGAACAACGTTGAACCCGTCAGTCTATGGGGGAATTATGGAACAATGAACAATTGAACAGGTGCCCGGCGGGGCAGTTTGTCACCTTGGTGATATGAATTTAGACTATGAGGAAACAAAGCCAAACTAATGCCAGCAAAGCCATAAAAATGAAAGGTAAAAGAGTGTCGCGAAAATATACAACAGCCATCTAATGCAAGTTGATATCGGCGACTTATCAATGATTCGGTGCCAGGTCAGCTGTAGTCAGGGTACGACAATCGCGTGTCGACGATCCATGACCAATGACCATTCATCATGCTAGCGCCTTTCGCTGAGTTTGCAAACTATTATGGCATAGTCAAAGGATCTCTAATTTTCCTTATTGATGTGTCATATCCATGCCACTGACACTCGAATGACCTAACCCTGCAAACAAGCCTCGCCATTTAACAGCACTGACCTGCGTATCCACCTCCACCGCCACCGCCTCTACAGCCGCCACCGCCGCCGCCGAAGCCACCATAAGTGCTCCAGTCAGCAGCCGTAGCGCAGGGCTCGCCACCCCGCGCCCCCAGCGACAGGGGCCAGCCGCCAGCGCCGACCGGCTCTGAGTCGTTCCAGCCGCCGCCGGCACCTGACGGCCACGGCCGGGGTCAGAGGTCAGCAGGGAGAAGAGGTCAGCAGGGCTAAGACGGCAGCAGAAGGCAGATGAAGTCGAAGGACCCGACCAACGGATAACAAAGGCCGAAAGGATAGTACCAGAGATCAGTGAGTGTTAAGGCTGAAACAGACTCTTTCCGCGTTCAGGAAATCGCATGCGAGAGCCTATTCAAATACATTGTAATTCTCTCGCATCAATCGCTTGCGGGAGGTGCGTGCGATTGATGCGAGCGTGCTTCCATGTATTTGAATAGGCTCTCGCATGCGATTTCCTGAACGCGGAAAGAATCTGTTTCGGCCTTTAGAGGTCAGCGGAGGTCAGAGTCCAAAAAAGTCAGAGTAAATGCAGGCCTGACACTTAACCCGCGCCCCACTGGGGGGGGGGCTATTTATAGCCCCCCCTCCCGTTTTTCTGCAATAACTTTCAAACCGCTTGACGTATCGACACCAAACTTTCAGTACCTTTGGCTGCATCAATTTGACACCTTGTGTCAAAATTTGAACTTCGTACCTACCATAGGTCGGCCGGAAATGACGTCAGAGTGACGTCATGTTCGGCCGATTTCGACGCAAAACATTGAACCACGGCAATCGCTCCCAAGAGCTCAGTTTTTAAGCTAGATCCAATTTCTTTGCATGAGAGGACTCAGAATAGACTGCGCTATCAAACTGCTATCTCAGATTTTCGAATTTTTAAAAAATTCGGCAATTTTATATAATAAAACTCAAAATTTATATTTTTGACATTTTTTCAAAAAAATTTGACTTTTCGAAAAAACCGGAATATATGTGATAGAACGCATTATTATGACTAACTCTAGCAAGTTTTAGCGAAATATCTTCAAAAATGGCCAAGTTATACGCATTATTGCAAAAAATTCACAATTATTAATTTTTCAAATCAATTTTGGCATCGTACGCCAATATAAATAGCACCATCGTGCTCCTGAGCTCAAACTGCATCCAATAGACACCTTTTGTGTTAAAAAATTTTAACTTCAAAATTTGACCTTTTTTGACCTGAAAGTGACCTGACCTGAGCTAAATTTGACTCAAAATGACCTCGAATGACACAGACGACATCAAATTCGAAATCTCTGACCTAAATGGACCATAAAACATGTGTCACGTGACCGACGGATGATATAATATTTTCGTGACCTGTGATGACCTGACCTTGACCTGAAAATCAAAGTACAAGTTTGGTACCCTCAGAGTATCTAGAGCATCTGTTCACGAGTGTGTGAACCAAAAATGAGCCTGATCTGACTTGTAAGACGGCGGCCAAAGCCCAAAACGTGAAGAAACCAAAATGCTAATAATTTTTACTTTGACCTGACCTGTGACGTCATCGGTGACCTCGAGGTCAATGAAATTAGGTTTCGCTCGACAGTTTTTCCGGGGCTATCAGACGCCGTTTGAATTTTGACGATCGGCCCAGTAGTTTCGGAGTTAGGAGGGGGGGACTATGAATAGCCCCCCCCCCCCCCAGTAGGGCGTGTTATACGCAGACCCCAGTGGGGCGCGGGTTAACCTGCAGGTAAGAACGCAAGTACTATGGCAAAAGACCCCTTGGCTCGACTCGACCGTCAACCCGCGGGCCCACTTACTCACCAGCGGCCTCCGAGTCGGAGAAACGACCGTTGCCGCTTCCCAGGGTGTGGTTCTCGCCTCGCCCATCTGGAGAGTGCATCACGCCCTTCTTGTCGGAGAGGCCTCCGCCGCCGGCGGCTACTACCAGAGGCACGCGCTGACTGTTCCTCACCTGCGTCAGCATGGAGGGTGGGGTTGGCGACAGCTGGAGGAGGAGCGTCTGAGAGTCACTACTCGAAGAGGCATTACAGGACATTTGAATGTAGACGAGCACTGGAAAGAGCGTGAGATGTGAGAAAGAGGTCTTATTGGCACAGCATAGGAGTTTCATTGGGAAAATGCAGCTCTTTGGCATGATGATGTGATTTTATAAATGGAAAACTGAGAAGTATGAGCACGCCCTTTAGCCGTTATTCTTCTGAAAAGAACGCCAACCCATAAAGATCATAAATGTTTATCCGGAATCAACAAAATAGCGTTGCTGTAAGTACGTAGGGGGAATTCATTGAAAAAAGGTTCCGTAGCCACTTCCACATTGCTACGTTTTTCTCCGGAACAGCAAACAGTGTTTTAGATAAAGTGCGCCAGTTTTGTATCACTGGACCCAGCCGAGCGTACCCCACCACACCACCGGTCTTTGTAAATGGCCGTCCGACCCCAGTGACCTATGAGGATAAATAACCGCCAGACAGTTGCGTCCGCCACATACAGCGACTTAGCAATGGCGGATATTAGCCTTCCTCGGCAGCACACACCAGCCATTCATTTCAATTAGCCTTCCGTTCTAGGTAAGTGTTGTAATCTGACGCAGACAATGTGCGACAAACGACAATCCTAACCCTAATTTGATTACATTATATTGTGTTACGCATTCATAGAAAGGATCTAAAGTCTAATGAATGTTAACATAAAAATGTTAGCGGTCATTGAAGCTATAAGAAAAGAAAACTTTCACGTGACAAAGTCTTGCGAGTATGTTTATTCCCTAAGCATTTAGAGTGGTCTTGGATTAAAGGTAGTGTGCCAGCTTTCCTGGACCGTATGGAGTTAATGGCCCAGATAAGGAGAACCGGATTTTTAGAACTTATCCATACCTTCAAAACTCATAGAAACGTTTTAAATTCTTCAAATTTTGAGTACCCCAGTGCGAAATTCGCCCCGACGGGTTGTCGGTCGTACCCCAACCACATTTCACACCACTATGAACAATAAATGCACACACTGAAATCGCTATTACCGATAGGCTCATCCAATCAAGTTTCGATAAACCCGTTCATCATCATCTCCTGCGGCTTCGAACACGCCTGTTAGCCCGGCACCGCCTGGGCTATTTCCGTACCCACGACAGCCTGGGGGGGTCGGATCCGACCCCCCCTGTTATCTCGAGAACCAATGGTCGTATCGAGCCCCGCGAGGCGGCGTTCGAAAGGTCTCTACGAGACCTTCCCAAAGCACTCTTAAGATTTTAAGATTGAGGTCAACTTTCGGGTCAAGGTCAGGTCAAAGGTCAAATTCAGGGGTTTTGCATGAATCGGCTTACGGACAGCGGAATCGATAGCTGCTGCTCGAAACTCACCAAAAATGACCTCAAAGGCCTAGTGAAGGTGCCATGTGCGTATAGGGGTCATACTAGGTACAGGTCAATGTCAGGTCAGGTCACGAAAGGTCACGGTTTTCACTTTCTGCTACATGGGCGTGCGACACATGTTTTATGGCTTATTTTTCACGCCGAATCCGATGGTAATGGTTATATGTGACCCCAAGTCACTGTGCTGGTGATAAATGTGCATTGAAAGCATAAAAAAATCGTTTATACTATACATAACTAAACGAGAGCTAAGAAAAAAGGTCAATTTTTCAACTTTTTATTTTTGACATAAAAATGCACTTTTCTAGACGAGCTTTGTCCCAGGAATCTAGTGGTGCCATTTGTTTTCACATGCGATGTTCAGAAGTGCCTCTAATTCACGAAAACGCCTATGACGTCACCATGCCCTATGCATGTTGGAGCTATTTTTTACAATTTGGGGGTCAAAAATCAAGATAGAAAGTTGAAATTTGGGGCATCTAATGTTCTAATAGAGCTCTACAACATATATTCCGGTTTTTTGGAAATTCCCAAAATTTTGGATTTTATTAGCTGTTTTCCAAAAAATATAGTTTTTTTTTAATTTTTAGGGGTGAAAAACGCATTTTATGGAAAATCCGAGATAGCCATTTTAAAGAACTCGTTGAGCTGCGTCTTTTGATGTCCTTAATTTGCAAATTGCTTCAAACCCTGATTTTTGGCGATTTTTTGAACATTTACCACTTTTTGACTAAAAACGCCATGTAGTTACGTCACTAAAATCGATATATCTCAAAAAATTTTGGAAATTTTTTTCTTAAAAATTGCACAGGAGACGTCAAATTGATGGGGGAGAAGGTATGCGAAGTTTCAAGTAGATAGCGAAAGTGGTTCATGAGTTATTCAAGAAAAACGGAGGGGGGGTCGGATCCGACCCCCCCCCCCCAGGCGGTCGCGGGTTAGGTGGTGCGGTAGACCGCGCCCAAAGCCAGGGCCCCGGTAACGTGAGGTAGCCGAGTCGGGGCAGCGTGCGCTGACCCAAGCCGGGGCCGCGCGTCCTCCCGGTGTCATGTGATAGCCCGGGGCTGCCCGCGGGGATGCGGTAGACCGCGCCCAAAGCCGCGGCCCCGGCTTGGGTCAGCGCACGCTGCCCCGACTCGGCTACCTCACGTTACCGGGGCCCTGGCTTTGGGCGTGGCTTCTGCTCATACTTTGTGGTGCGGTGGTGGTGCGTCGGGCCGCGCGCTCTGACTTCGGCCAAGAAAAATGCGTCAGCTGATCATTGTCAATTCTGCCACTTTCATGTGGTGAGATGGGGTCATAAATTTAGAGACGGCTGTTTCATATCAATTATTTTACATAAAATAATATTTCAAACCATAAATTATTGTTCGACATGGCCAAATTAAAGAAACAATACCAATACAGGCTTACAGTTTAAATTCGACATTGTGTTGTCTACGATTAGACAGCTGATAACTCATTCCCGTACGTCGTAACTCTATAATGACCTTTGCTTATTGTCACATGTGCGCCGCATTCGTGATTGTTGCCGACGCCTGTTTGCAGGTCAGCCCACTATAATTGTTATACATATCGAAAAACCGATAAACTTTTAGGCGAAAAAGCACTATTTTAGGCCCATTTTTGATTTTTTTGCGATATTAGGTAAAAACAGAAGCTTCTTATCCTAGGAAAAATAAAATGGGAAATCATTCGAAGGTGGCACACTACCTTTAAAGGGACTATCCCACCTTCAAAAAAGTCCCGTTTAGGATTCGGAAATGTTACTGATGATATTGTGACGAATTCTGCAAGTTTTTACGCGTTTTCATCGTATACTTTTTGAGATATTGCGACTTTTATATTTCATCGTGACGTCATTTAGATCGGATCTGTGACGTAATGAAGGATTTACTTCATGTCAGTGTGGGGGAAATTTGGCAGCAAATATAGGTATTTGCTCTCAAATATGACTCGGCTCATACAATAACAAAAGTGTCTCTGATTGGCTTATTCGTAAATCAAGTGATACTTCACTTGAACAGGCGTTCAAAAGGCAAATGACGTCATCAGATTACCGTTAATGGTTAAGAGATTGGGCCTTGCGCAAGGCCCATTTTCAAATGAAGGGAACGAATTTCTTCAACACCACGAGGCCGCGGGGGTTGCAACCAAGATAGATAGTGGTTTCTGGACCTCGCCGCAAACTTGGCTATCTCAACTCAAACCTAATGTAAAGGTGGGATAGCCCTTTAACGCAATTCATCATATAAAATGAGTGGTGCATATCAAACACAATGAATAGGTATACTCGTAACTCGCAGGCATCCACAATTCCACAGAAAAGACACGAACGCATGCATGTCTGTCGTGCGCAAAGTCATCTCTACGCGGTCACTCACCAGAAAGACGAACGTTCCTCCTCCTCCGCCGCCGCCGCCGCCCACGAATGTGATCGACTTCAGGTTGTGGAGAATGCTGCCGTCGCGTCTGGCCAGCCAGCGCCGGCCACGGCGCCGGTGGTAGCCGGAGGCCGCGGAGCGGAACCCGTGCAGCGGATGCAGCACCTTCAGGTCGGTGGGGTGGGTGGAGGGCTTGCACCGCTCCAGCGTCCTGTTCAAGTTGTCCTGCGGTGAGGTTGAAAAAGAGCGACGGGTGGTTAGAAGTGGGGGAGATTCGTAATGGGCCTCGTTTCATAAAGCGAGTCCGTAACTTACGCCAGTTTTTGGGCTTGTATTGCAAGCGCATGTGAAGCGATAAAATTATTTCCCCTTCTCCCTTCTGTTCTTGCTTGCAAGATAAATAAATTCAACGATTCAAACTATCGTCATCGCTTCACATGCACTTGCAATGCAAGACAAAAAACCGGCGTAGGTTACGGACTCGCTTTATGAAACGAGGTCCAGGAGTGAGACCTAAATGATAGGTAATGATTCAGTTGAGCTTTGTTGACAAGAAAAAAATAATAAAAGGGTAAGGTCAATGAGCGACATACACATCGTCTCACACGCCTTTCCTCCAATAATTGTTGAACTCGCAATAAAAGGTAAATATTCGGAGGCGAATAATCCATTCACCTTCTATGCTTACCTAAAAACAAAACTTTCCTACCTAACGTTACATTTTTGTTGCCCACTTTAAGGACTAAATCTAGTGCTCCTTGGACAGGCCTGTTTTTGGCCTCCGACTACAATAATAAAAGTGCATTTGAAGATGGATTCAGCGTCCGATGCCGCTTATCAGAGGAGCCTGCCAGAGCTGATGGAGGGTCAGCTCGCAGACTGGTCATCCATCTTGTCCGCCTGGTGCCCCCCCCCCCCCTCCGCGCGGCGTGCACCATCAGCCCGTCCCGGTTCCGCGACATCGCAGTCCCCGGCCGCTAGCCCACAGCTCCGTATGTCTCAGGCACTGATGTAGCCGCTACGGTTAACGATTACAGAATAACTGACATTACTGTTGACGGTGTGAAATCTGATAGCGTCTGCATCAACAAAAACAAAGCTCAGCCTCTGGCACTGGTCAGGCACTGGTCAGAGCCCTGGTCAGATCTCTTGAGTACACTTCAGTTTTCGTTATAATTCCTCGCTTTACGAAGCGTTACGCCTGTTGCCGAAAATATTCACGTTATTCGTTAAAAGGAGTCACCTAACATATCCGCCTGTTTACGGGTCACCCTATATCGCCACAGGTGTGTGTGGTGGCGGCAGGGGAGGCACAGAACGAACAGCTGTCTCACATTAGTGTCAGGTGGCCGATGTAATTTTTCAGATTTGTCAGCATTGTATGTGCACGATAAATGAACTTGCAAATGGTTCCACAATATATCGACAATTTAAAGCAATTATCAATATTTTAAACAGAAATGGAAACAAAATATTTTGTGTGTGTAATTATCCTTATTTTCTTGTAGCTTTTAAAATTTTAATCATCTGTATTATTGTTGTTTTTTAAAGACTTGTATGCTAGTCGGTATGGCAGATAAGGTATGCTAGTCGCAGTCACCAACTGTTAATGGCTGATCCGATTGGTAGCTTCCTTACAAGCATTGCCGCCGCCGCTGTGACTGATTCTTTCTGCTGGCCAGGTCAGTCGTGACTCGCCTGGCTACGCTTACTGCAGTTTTTGATAGCTGACCTGGCCCAACCTACCTCGCTGTTCTTGTTGCAAGACCGGGTGGCTGACGAGACTGACACGACGGATTTTGCTGCGCAGTGTCCTGTGGCTGACCTGATTGACCTGACTGACCTGACTGACTGTTCTTGTTGCAAGGTCCGGTGCCATCCTGGTGTTGCACTTACCTGGTTGTCCTTGTTGCATGGCTCAGTGACTGACCTGGCTATCTTTGTTGCAGGGCCCGGTGACTGACCTGGCTGTTTTTGTACCTGACTGACCTGGCTGTCCTAACCTTGCTGCAGAGATTGTTGACTGACCTGGCTGTCCTTGTTGCAAGGCCCGGTGCCCTCCTGGCCGACCACCATGTAGACCTCCTCTCCCTCCGTGAGCGACACCACGGAAACGGCCGTGGAGCCCAGACTGACCCGGCTTGAGGTGTCGAACCCCTGGCCTCCGCTGGCGCCGCGAGCCACCAGCCTACCGCGAACACGGGGTCAGTTTAGACGGCACCGCGCACCACCAGCCTTTCAGGGGATACAGAATACAGGCCAGATGGACCCCATAGGACACGGCACGGGTATTCACAGGATACATCAAACAGACGCCTTAACCCGGCACCGCCTGGGCTATTTCCGTACCCACGACAGCCTGGGGGGGGGGGTCGGATCCGACCCCCCCCCTGTTATCTCGAGAACCAATGGTCGTATCGAGCCCCGCGAGGCGGCGTTCGAAAGGTCTCTACGAGACCTTCCCAAAGCACTCTTAAGATTTTAAGATTGAGGTCAACTTTCGGGTCAAGGTCAGGTCAAAGGTCAAATTCAGGGGTTTTGCATGAATCGCACTGAAAAAAATCGGGGAACCCCATTTCTTACAATCTGACACCCCATACTCCAAAATACTCCTAAATTAGGCTCCGTTTTCATGATTTTAGGATGTCATGGGTGTTGTGACACCCGACACGGGAACCCCATTACCTTTTGACGCCCCAAAAATGTACATGACCCCCTTGGGAGAGGTTCGGCTAGCGAACTCCCCAAAAAATGCAGGCCAAAAAATTGGAGTGTCGCTGAGACACCCCCGTTGAAACCCCTCTGGGGTGTCATTATCCTGGAGTGACACCCCGTGTTGCATTCCAAAGTGTCGCTGCGACCCTCAGTCAGGGGCGTACCGCCCATACCGCAAATACCGCAAATGCGGTATGGCTGGCGGCGACGTGCCCAGGGGGCCCCCTTGGGCAAAAATAAAAACATGGAAAGTGCCCTCGCGGGCCGAAGGCCCGCTAGGGAATCTTTGCTCGCTATCGCTACGCATCGAAATGATATATATGGTTGGCGAAAAAACTTGAATTCGCGTGGTGTTTTGCCTGAGCCGATTGGACGTCTAGAAGTTGAGATATCCGCAAAAAATCTATTCCAACCTACAAAAGTTCTTGGTTAAAAAGCTACCGTGTCATACGTTGGTCGTGCACACAGGGCGCCGCAAGGCCGCGAACGGAAAGAGTAACTCCTCACCCGGTTATAAATATAGTCTGAGATTCTCGTTCCGAAAGACTCCATCGCATATAAACATTGTCATTATATATCTTCGATACACTTAAGTAGCTAAATACCCATGGCATGCGCAATGGTCCAAGCGGACCGAAGCACCCATAAGCGTAGGAACCATGGGTGCAAGGGTGCAGCTGCACCCACAATATTTCTCCAGTGGGTGCAGACAATGTATTCTGCACCCACAATAATCTGAACCAAAAACCCCTTTTCTCATCAACACTACTTTCCATGCAGCACGGCAAATTCAGGATATGTTGCCCACTATCCATCTTTCGAAGCATTTGCTTTTGTGATGGTCTTCAAAACTTACATTTGTGCTGAAGAAAAAAAGGAAATGGAGCATGTGATTGAACACATACCGAGCCGATAACCCACTGTCAAAATTTTTAGCCCGATATCTTCGAAAATGGCTAAGTTGGCCGCTTTTACTTTTTGCGGTAGTCAATATTGACAATATTAACCCTTGCAATTGTGCGGCGTTTTCCAGCTTCTAATGTGTAGAGGGAGGGGGGGGGGGGGTGATGGAGCTAGAGCTTCGTGGAAAAAACGAGGATGTTGCCCGTGACGAGAGGAAGCCGATGATACCCAATTTTAAGGTCCTAGGTCATTGGTTGACCTTCCAGGTCAGGTCAATGTTCCAAAAGTCGGGAAGATCGGGACCTGCTAGAACTGCGTAAAGTGAAGCTGTTAACGGGTTTTTCGGGGTGCTGATCACGAATATCATGCTGATGAATCACGAAATTTGATGACAGATGATTTCTTCATGCATTTAGGCCAGATCGGGTCAGGTCAGGTCAGGTCAACCATTAGGCGTCCTACCGGCTATCCAAAGTAGTTGTCAACTACCACTGACGGCGTCTTAGCATGTTACGAAGGCACTAAAACTACTTCGTAAACGTTCAAATGGATGCTAAATTCGAAATCAGCCCGAAAAACTACCCAAGAAACATGCAATACTCGAAAAAGTGAACCGAGGTCATCAAAGGTCAATGACATGACCTGACCTTCAGGTGACTTTCACACCCACCGTAATGCATGGGACGAACATAATTTCACATGTTTGGACGTCTACAATCACAAAAAGACTGGAAACGCGCGGATAATGTGAGCTGACATACGCCAAATCGCGAGTCCGGCCGAACATGGTCTCGAGAATCAGGTCACAGGTCAAAGGTCTTTTGGGTCAAGGTCATGAAATTTTCAGAGTAGGTGTAAACCTGATCAACTCGAGGGTACTTAAAGTTTCGTCGCGGTGGGCCGGTTTTGGCGCGAGCTATTTGCGAAAAACCATGGGGGGCTCATCCGAACCCCCTACACATGCAAGGGAATAAATGCTTCCAAATGCACTTATCGGTTGGTACCATTTCGACATGGTATACAGTCCCCCTCAAAGCAAAGCTCGTAACGAGCCTTCGCTCGGGTGTCGCTACCTACCCCCCCCCCCCCCCCGCTTCACCAGCCATGGCTGGATTTCTGCACCCATGCACCCACAATGTTCCAGCAGTTCCTACGCCCATGGAAGCACCTAAACAACAATCAATCAATCAATCAATTCCGAAAGACATTAAACCCTCGACGGGAGGTTTTCGGAAGTATAGGGGAGTAGAGCTGCTCTGAGCGACTCCCTGCTGAAGGCCCGCGGTTCCCCGCGTGGGGGTCAGGAACAATGTGGGGAGTTATATCAGAAGAACAGGGGAGTCGAGCTGCTGTATTTTACACCCTAATTTGGGAGTTTGACACCCTGTCGGTTGCTTAGGGACCAAAAAGAGGTGCTCGGCTGATATTTGAGTTCTCGGCTATATTTCTTTCGGGACGCGTAAACTGCGAATGTTTTTTAGCCTCACCGAAGGTGTTGGAGACGCCCTTTCTCGCAGCATCATTCGTGTTCATTAACGTGCTTTGTGTGCGCCGTATCGAAGGATAATATCGGTAGGCCGAAGGTAGAGCTTCAAATCCTACCGATAGATGGCGCAAACTAAAGTTGGTAAAATCGGGACCTGTTTTTCGCGAATGGCTGGTGCATGTTTGGAGCTAAGGCAAAAGCGTGCATAGCGTAGAGTGGCCAACTATATCACGATGATATCTAGACTGATTACCGTGTCATACGTTGGTCGTGCACACTACAGGGCGCCGCAAGGCCGCGAACGGAAAGAGTAACTCCTCACCCGGTTATAAATATAGTCTGAGATTCTCGTTCCGAAAAACATTTAACCCTCGACGGGTAATTTTCGGAAGTATAGGGGAGTAGAGATGCTCTGAGCGATTCCCTGCTGAAGGCACGGGGTCCCCCGTGTGTGGGTCAGGAACAATATGGGGAGATGTATCAGAAGAACAGGGGAGTCGAGCTGGTAGATTTTACACCTTAATTTGGTACTTTGACACCCTGTCGGGTGTGCTTAGGAACCAAAAAGGGGTGCTCGGCTGATATTTGAGGGGTGTCACCTGCAGTCTAACGGAACCCCATGTGGGCCGGCGCTGACCCCCCTTTAGCGGCTGCGACTCCCCACTATGCGTCGAAACCCTCCTGGGGTGTACGCCAAACACCCCATTTATAATAGCTCAGCGACTCCCCTCAAAACACCCCACTCGGGTGTTATTTTTGACATGACCGTCAATACCCCGTACAGGGTGTCATTTTTTCTTTCAGTGCGGCTTACGGACAGCGGAATCGATAGCTGCTGCTCGAAACTCACCAAAAATGACCTCAAAGGCCTAGTGAAGGTACCATGTGCGTATAGGGGTCATACTAGGTACAGGTCAAGGTCAGGTCAGGTCACGAAAGGTCACGGTTTTCACTTTCTGCTACATGGGCGTGCGACACATGTTTTATGGCTTATTTTTCACGCCGAATCCGATGGTAATGGTTATATGTGACCCCAAGTCACTGTGCTGGTGATAAGTGTGCATTGAAAGCATAAAAAATCGTTTATACTATACATAACTAAACGAGGGCTAAGAAAAAAAGGTCAATTTTTCAACTTTTTATTTTTGACATAAAAATGCACTTTTCTAGACGAGCTTTGTCCCAGGAATCTAGTGGTGCCATTTGTTTTCACATGCGATGTTCAGAAGTGCCTCTAATTCACGAAAATGCTTATGACGTCACCATGCCCTATGCATGTTGGAGCTATTTTTTACAATTTGGGGGTCAAAAATCAAGATAGAAAGTTGAAATTTGGGGCATCTAATGTTCTAATAGAGCTCTACAACATATATTCCGGTTTTTTGGAAATTCCCAAAATTTTGGATTTTATTAGCTGTTTTCCAAAAAATATAGTTTTTTGAATTTTTAGGGGTGAAAAACGCATTTTATGGAAAATTCGAGATAGCTATTTTAAAGAACCCGTTGAGCTGCGTCTTTTGATGTCCTTAATTTGCAATTTGCTTCAAACCCTGATTTTTGGCGATTTTTTAAACATTTACCACTTTTTGACTAAAAACGCCATGTAGTTACATCACTAAAATCGATATATCTCAAAAATGTTTGGAAATTTTTTCTTAAAAATTGCACAGGAGACGTCAAATTGATGGGGGAGAAGGTATGCCAAGTTTCAAGTAGATAGCGAAAGTGGTTCATGAGTTATTCAAGAAGAACGGAGGGGGGGGGGGGGTCGGATCCGACCCCCCCCCAGGCGGTCGCGGGTTAAGCACATCAGACGGAACAATACAAAATAATGCCTGTGTTTTACGTTCAGGAAAATTTGTTTAGTCTGTTGAACGACAATAATATAGATGGCATGTACCCAAAGAACCGTTACAATGTATGCAGTGATACTCTGACATACACTTAGTCGTTTGTTCAGTTTTTACACCTTTTTACTTTTCAAACGCATCACACGACCTGCACTTGTGTGCTATTATAATTATTAGCCTCCTTCCTGTCGTATGTCCACTTACGAGTAGATGCCGGTGGCCGGGACTCGCCACACCTGGACCCCCTTGTAGGTGGGTGCGTCCAGCACGCTGACGTGTGACGCCGTGCGGTTCTTGTAGGCGGCGTTACACTCGCGCTGCTGCGGTCCATCGCGACCGGAGGCGCCGCAGGTACCGAATGAGAACACTGAAACGGGAGCGGAGCGGAGCGGGCTGTGGATGACGCTTTCCGCCTGCTGATGACGCTTTCCGCCTCAGTTTTGAATTTGTCATAAAACATTGTCCTGTGAGGTGAATGCACTCTGGGCAACGTGACGGCTGAACATTACAGGCTGAAATAATATGATAGTAAAGAAGCGGGACCTGGTAGCTACAGGCCATTCCGCCACCCTATAGTTGTCAACCAATGCCGCACCCGCTGATAGGATTAGGTATACGCTTTTAACATCAAAGGTAATGGAGCGTGTCGGTCTCTGACAGCCAGTAATAGAACAAAAGACACTAAAACCACAATGCCACCTACGCTAATGCCATCGCCGCAATTTGATCAGAACCACATCAACGCGAGCAAAAACGCCACGAAACATGAGCGCCGACACAGCGCTCCCGCTGTTACGCTGCGGCGCCCGCTGCGTCAGTGGCGACATTCAGTCAATGCGGCGCCGACCGCCGCAGGCGCGGCGTTCAGCGGCGCGAGCGGCCCGGAGCGCTGAACGGCCGATCCGCGGTGATCAGAACGCATTCAGTGCGGTGGCTGGCTGGGACAGCCCACCGACAGCCTGGCAAAAACAGCCCGTCTAGAGGCCCAGCGGGGGCACCACCGAACGCACCGACCGTGCGGCCCGCCAATGGTGCGTGATGACGAATAGCTAATAGGCTAATAGCTAATAGCTAATAGGCAGTACTGCCAATAACGACTTGGGCGAAATGTTTAAACAGAAATTGCTTCCACAGCAAGTTACCGAAGCGGGTTCTTAGAAGTTAGGTGCTTTTGTCTTTCAGACTGTGTGTGTGCCCGTCTATGTATGTACTATCAATGGTGGGGCACACCGATAGCCTGTCAATTGCGATGAAAGCAAAGTCTGTGATAGCACCTTTAAATTTTTTACAATTCATTCGCAAAAGACTTTGCAATATATCTTGGAACTTGAATATGGGCACACCGACTGCTAAACAACTACAAATTCATTTGTTTGCATTTACGCATAATTTCGATGATTTCGATTTCGATATTTGTGCCTATACTAATCGAGCTGAGATGGAATTTTCTTCGATGTGGCAAGTGTGTGCAACTGACGAGTTTTTCTAAGCACAACGCATGATTGGCATTGGCTACGTTTCCATGGCACAAGCTAAGCCGATTTTGAAAAATGGATTTGCTCCAGCATAGCATTTAGGGATAATTTAAAAATGTAAATATAGGATTAGGTGCTAGCTAAAACCATATATATGCCCATTTTTTGCATAAGGTAAATAGTTTCCGAGAAAAACGCACGTGAAATTTCGCTAAATCGATTTAGACGTGTCATGGAAACGTAGTGATTATCCAAACAACCTAAAGGCATATTAAAGAAAAAATGTAGACTTACCTGTGCCATTCGGTTCTGGAAGGGCTGGAGTCTTCGGAACTGTAACAGCAAATAGCGCATCGTTTAAAATGAATTAACGCTCGCCCGCACATGCCATTTTCCCATCCTAGAACGCACATGGGGGGGGGGGTTGCCACCCCCCCCCCCTCCCCGCGCCATTTCGTTCCTGTTGGAGATAGAGCTTAGCAGTAAAGACCAAAAAGATTCTTTGGGAAGAGACGAATCCAATGATACCCAGTTTTACCTTCTCAGGTCAGTCATTGACCTTCCAGGTCAGGTCAAACTAAAAAATGTTGCTGTTTTGGGTCACCGTTGGATATCAAGTGCGCTGTTTATCAAATACCGATGACGATGCTGTTTTCTGGTGCCAAGCCAGCTAGAACCTCTTTGTCACACTATCCGACCAGAATTTTGCTGCTGAGGTCATTTCAGGTCAAGTTAGGTCAAGGTCAATTATATGTGTTTGTATGTCTGTGTGTGTCTGTTTGTATACTGATGTGTGCACCGATTGTTTTTGGGTCCATATCACATGAAATCATGATCTGAGAAGCTTTTACCAAAAATGCAGTCAAAAAACTTCACAAAAAGTAAATTCCGCTTGCCTAAAACGCAACTATCTTAGATGACCTAGGTTGACCTTGACCCTGACCTTGACCCCTGTACATCGTCGAACAACATGTTCCATGATAGGTGGGAGGTAAGACTGGCAAAAAAGGCCGAAATCAGGGTGTCAAAAGCTCACAAGGCCCATGGCAAACGCAAGATGTTGAGAATTGGCCATTTGGGTCATGACATGACCTGAAAAACAAGGTCATATCTCCGAAACCAAAAATCACAGAAACTTGAAATTTTCAGTGGACATCAAGAAAGGACAGACGAGCAGCTATACGAAAAATCAGCCTTCTAGCTCTAAAAATGTTGAGTGCAGAGCAGAAAGACTGCCTGGGGGGGTGGCAACCACCCCCCCCCCCCATGTGCGGGCGAGGGTTAATCACTCTGACGCACCTATTATATTATAGTTTAAACATCAACAAACATGTATACAAACCTAACAAAACGTAGGCCTCAAGACACGGCTTTGGCAGCGCCCACTACCATGAAATAAGAGTCTAATGCACGAGAAAAAAAACGGTACTTAGATGAAGCATGAACGAGGATAAAACAATATCGATCGAAGGTGGGTATTTGAGTGACGCCAAGGGAAGCCGCTTTTGTAAGATCTCACTTCGCAGACGTTAAACCGTCTGTTAGAGGCAATGAGGTCACTAACGTATGAAGAACATTTAAAATAAAATTTTAGATGATTATTCATCACAAACCAATGTTTATGTATATGTTCCCACTTCCCAGCCATAGAAAGCGTGCAATCCACAAGTGCCAGTACTTACGCCAGGTGTCTGGATTGCTCAGATTGTATTTGTACTGGTGACGGTACCGGTCTGGTACGCCTGGAACGTAGAACGGTAGCTGACAATATGGCATAACCATAACCGATGTTATCGCATCAGTCAAATAAAGTTATTCGTGTACAGCATGACTTTGAGGCGAAGTGGAAATACAAATAGGAATGGCATGTCTTCATTAGATGCGTGGATTGGTATATTGTCCAAGGAAGAAGTAAACGTCGGTCATTGCAGCGCCGTGTGAGAAAATAATGAAACGTTTTTTTTATGAAAAAGCTTCCAGAGGTGAGCCTACCTTGGGCGAAACACTCTCTGCTCAACGATAAATCGTCAATCCCGATTGAGGCCTTGCTGGAGAGGCTTTTTGCCGCTCCAATGACCAGGTAATAACTGAAACGGAGACACAAGAATAAAATTAGACATTGTCTGCTTATTCATCAGATACATAGACATAGACATAGACATGTATTTGCGACCCTTCCACATACATTTTACACATCGTGCTATCATATGTGCCAACACAAGCTAAGCTGTGCGGGTGATATTTGCTCGTTTCGCTATAGATCGCCTATAGACATCGAGAGAAGGTCGGCAAAAGATGGATAACCTAGAGCCGTACGGCTGTCAGTAAGGTAAAGTGTGTGTTCACCCAGACTCCCAACTAGCGCACCTGTCGTTGAAGCTGGTCGGCAGGACGACCACCTCCTGCGACCACTCGCTGGTCTTCATCCTGCCGTAGAAGCGCCACACCTCCTGCCGGTTGTGCGAGTCGAGGATGTAGACGGACGCTGCCCCAGAGTGCTCCTCCGTCATGTGGATGGAGAAACGGAACTGTAGGACAAACGAGAATGTCATTGTGCGTTTCGAAGATAGCAGGGATACAACGCTCCTAAACCCGCCCTTCACCTATTGTGGACAAAATCGGGGAGTGACCCAACTTCAAACTTTCAATGCTCATAAATAATAAACGAATGTCTCGATAATAAATTTTAGCAAATGATGTAATTTACTGCAAAATCGCTTAGCTGGTGATTTACGTAATTGAACAATCTGTGACACATTTCACGTTGAAAACAAGCATTAAGTCTGTGACGAGTTGGCTTCAATCACGCCAACTTTGGCGCAGGTAAATGGTGCCAGACAGGCTTAGCGACAGAGCCGGTGGAGGCGTGCACATTTGGCCGTTACATAATTCGGCGCGTCAGACCCAGCAAGGTAGATGGGTCCACAATTCACCGTCAGATGTGTGCTCTATGTATCGTGGTGACGTTCGAATGAACTGCGACCATTTGAGCACATGGGGTGACGGGGTTCGTTCTCTACCTACGCATCAGTCGTGGGTGAGGAGCGATCCCACGCGACAGCCACGGCCTCAGTTCTTTCCACTGTCTGCATCAGCTGATCCAGCCGCCCCTACCCCCGCGTTAGATATCAGCCGCCCCAAACGCCTGCATCAGCTAAGAAAAAAGTCAACATGTGCGTCCATACCACCATATGTATACCCAAAAGAGCTGCCTGCAAAGAGCAGAGCATGCCACACACAGAATCTTGTTTTGAGCGCATAGCAAAAGCCGATGGTAAGGTCGCCAGGGGCAAACAAAGCCGCCAAAACACCACCCGTACTGACCTTGCACGACTTGTAGTAGGGTGAGTGTGGGTCGCTGTTGAAGGCAGGCATTGGCGGAAACGCCGGCGAAACCAGCTCTCCGTGAGCCGAGAACAGGCCACTAATGAACTCCGCCAGCATAAAATGGCCTGCAGCGCAAACACGACAATCACCTACTGCACTTCGGTTATACAGCTATGCAGTTACACATGAGTGCATCAGCTGCGCCCGCCAAGACACATAATTGGTGGTGGCAGAAAATGTTATATAGCTTGATGAATTCGCTGTTAATTGCAGCAGCAGAAAAAGTGCAAAAGTTGTGAGGTGACAAAGCTCTCTGACAAACCTCACAAACCTCCCTCCCTGACGCTGTCAAAGTTTGACTCTCATTTCCGGAACATATAAGAATCTTATCATAAGGAAATACCTCGTGCTGGGTCATGAGCATAACTGAAATATTCGCCTGAGGTACCACCCAGTGACCCTGTAAAGTTAGATGACGCACGCTGAATTATGATTTCATTGTCAATGTGGCAGACTTTAGAAGCCAGTGAAAGTTAGGCCGATAAACGTTCGCATCGAAATGTAAACGGAAGATGTAGCTGGTGCATGCGGAGCCCTTCACGAGTAATGCACTGTAACCGGTGGTGCACCCCCATTGTCCACACCGAAACCTGTACCTCCTGTTGCCTCTGGCCACTCATCACTGGCGTCCCTCAGGATTCTACAGACCACTGGCGTTTCCCAGGGTCAACTAATCACTAGCATTTCCCTGTTTCCACTGATCACTGGCGTTTCTCTTGTTTCCACTCACCACTGGCGTTTCCCACGGTGTGGTCGTAGGTGGGGGTCCGCCCAAACGCTGCCGCCTCGTGGCCCGAACGGTACTTCCACTCGAGCTCGCCCTGGCCCCGTTTCCAGCCACACTGGCCCGACTCAAAGTCGCACGGTGTCCCTGGCGGGGTCTTGCCTGTGGAAGAAACCGATGCTGTAAGCTGAGAGCTTTGATCCAAGCTGGAGTGATTGATAGAATCGTACGGATTATGGGATTACGTTACTTATGTCATGATTAGGCATCTCCCGAATTAGTGATCTTATTTATCTACGGTCTTCCGAGGCCAGACCTCGTCAATGTGTTACAGAAAAGCTCGGCGTGGAACTGACCGCATCCCTGGTCCTCGGACTCGTCCTCGCCGTCGTGGCAGTCTCTCTTGATGTTGCACACGTCGTCGGCGCTCAGACACTTGTTGTTGTAGCACTGGAAAAAGTCGCACGGCTGCTGCGTCGGCTGCGTTTCTGAAACGGGCGGAAATTTCATAATGTCGTGCTTTCAATGAATAAGTTATTATTTCATTAAGACATTTCATATCTACATACAGCGAGACGACGCGTGAATCCCTATACCTACCTGTTGTGCTATACTGTGAGCGCTGGTTTCTCTGGTCTGCTTTACCATGAACCTCCAAATCTGATGTGCTGTTGGTTATGTGTAGTGTTAAAATGGGTTTACTATGTCTGGCGTTGTGTCCTTCGTGTCTGTTATTGGTGCTGTGCCGTGTGCTCCCGGTGTGCAGTATCATGCAATGTTGTGTGTCCCAATGTGCAATGTTGTGCTGCTGTGCTGTGCTCCTGATGTGCAGCATTGTGCAGTGTCGTGCGCTCTCATGTGCAGTGTTTTGCGCGTTTCCTGCCACTAGCCGTGGCGTGTGGCACGCGCTCTGGCTCTGACCCGGCCCCGGTACAGGGTGACACGACAGCGCCGTCAGCACGCGGCCGTCAATGGCTCCCGACACGGCGGATAATCGCAGCGCCTGCCGCGGGCACGCCGGCCAGACAGACAGGGGATGGGGGGCTCCGGCATTACCGGTCACAGACGGGGGGGGGGGCTCCGGCATTACCGGTCACAGACGGGGGGGGCGGGTGGCATTACCGGTCACAGACGGGGGGACTAAATTCCCGGACAGACGGGGACGGGGGACGACATTAGCGGATTCAGACTGGGGAGCAGGTCACCCGACAGACCAGCGGACTCGTGGACCGGACATATGCCATTGGACAGAGGCTATAGCCAATACAGGCTGGCGGACACAGACCAACGGACACAGACCAGATGCAGACCAGTGCAGCGGTAGAGCCATCAGACCATCGGACACATGAACCAACGGACAGAGGTCATTGGACACAGATCAGCGGTCAAATATCGGCAAACACAGACCAGCGGACACATGAAACACCGGACAGACATGTTTTATGAAGATGTCATCATCGACGCACATACAGAACCTGAACCAATCACACAAAAATACACTAAGCGCTTTACGCTGACGACCTGACAATGGCAAGGTGCCATCTACGGCAGCGACAACAGCGGTACGGGTCGCCCACAATACTCTGACATGGACCACCTGTGTGGGGAGGTAGCGGGGGGGGGACACTCCCGAGCAGGTGTGGGCCGTCTCAGACCGCAGAGGCAGCCGTCGTGCGCTAAGCCCAGCTGAGGCGGGTTTACGGAGTCGGCAGCAGGCAGGCGCCGCTGTACAAGGTGCCCACTATTCGGGCGTGTGCCAATGCAGTTCGCACAATAAGGGACTGTTTCTTTGACAACCCCTGCCACTCACCTCTCATACAGTCCTTCAGAAGAATGTTGTCGATCCCGATGTGATTTGGAGTCTTACCGCCGAGGTCTTTCATCTCAATGATCAAATGAAAACGTTCCCTGATTTTACTTATTTTCTCTGTAAACTTGTTCCACCTGAAACGCGACATTTCGGTCCGTCACACTTCACGTGCCTGCTGAATCGCCAATGTCGTATTTGATGTTTACCTTAGGAAGTTCAACAGCCCCCTCGCACTAACACATGTATGTCAATTGCTAACATTTTGATGATAAAGTAATGTGTAATGTGTTGATTTACCTTGCTAAGTAAACTCCTTTACGATGCATTGTTACCAACAATTTATGTAGAAACAAAAACGTTAAAATAGACCTAAATAAAATCACACGCTAAACCCTTATGAAATAAGACACTGATCGCATAATATGTTAAAAATTACGCAAAATCCCATGCTCACAAATCTATGGAAAGGAACATCCCTATCCGCTTAGTCATCTAAATTTAGGGCTATAAAAGCAGGCAGATTTTTTTACTCACTCTCCGGATGTGTGTTTGGGGTGCCAGGACATGTAGACCGGATCGCCGTGCTCCTTGTTGATGACGATGGCGATCTTGGTGCGCCTCAGGGTGTGGGAACAGATGTCCATCTCTATCCGGCAGTCTTCGCCGGACTCCTCGTACCAGGGCGACCAGATCTGCGCCTGCGTCACGTTCCGGTGGCTGCTCATGAGCAGATAGTGACCTGCCGGGCAGAGAAGACGGAGGAGAGGGTCAGATAGGCGAAAAGGGTGTAACGTTTACTGGGTCACTGGGGTAAGTGTTGTGACGTCACAGAGCAGGGTATACCAGAGCAATGTGAAAAATGGACAGACGAGACCAGATCACGCCACTGTGAAATGTTCACGTTGATGGCTCGGTAACGATGGACGGTTATGCATGGGTGTCGGGTATTTACAGGCAATTGCAGGGGAGAAGAGAAATAGGCGGGGGGGGGGGGGGAGAGGGTCAACTTGTAACTCCCTGTGGTGTCATAGTAATGTGATGTCACTTGCTCCCCGGCCATTAGCTCAATAGGTCCGTCGGTGTCCGTTATAGCCCCTAACAGTCTCGGTACGTTTCGCGCCCGTAAGGCATCAGCTGTTCGGGAGGAGCGGATGCCCTCGACTGACTAATGTTAACTAGAAAAAGACCCCCCGTAATCTTGGCTTCGAGACCAAACGATACTCATTTTTGATCCCAATCCCCTGTTTCTGGTTGACGGGCCGCCCGCTCTAGCAACTGGGGAGGTTTGGTCAAATGTGATCATATCTATTCGTGGTGACTGTTTCGTGGGAGTGGTATTTCACCAAATCTGCACAGAACAGCGAGTTATACCATCTGATAGCCCTTCGTGAAAACGGCTATCATATGGCACCACTTCACCAAGCCGTGGATAAAAAAAAAATACAGCATTCAACAGGAGCGGAAACAAAGGGATGAGAAAAAAAGAAAATAAAGAGAGAGAGAGAGAGAGAGAGAGAGGGGGGGAGAGACGGAGAAGGAGCAGAAGGATGAGAGAGGAGGGGAGAAAATACGACAGGAGAGTGAGAGCGGCAGCGGCAGCAGCAGCTGCTGTTGCCGGGAGCAGCTGCGGTGTCTCCGTCCACCAACCAATCGGTCAGGGTAATTGGCAGTGGACTCCCTGGACGGCCCAGTATACTTAGCCGACCTCCGTCGGCGGGGAAACACCTCACTGACGGTACATAGACTTCAGTTGACTGAAAGGGATACCTGACACCACAGAGAACGCCTTTGAGGAAATGCCTAATTAATTTGTGGCGTAATTTTCATCGTTCGGAAAACTCTTGAATGTCTTATATGTCAAGAAAGGGCTGATCTTATATACTTAAACGTTCACACACCACTAAGGTCCTGTCGGCGAGCTCATCAGCACTTTGCAAGAAAATGTCGGAAGAATCGACCCATTTTGTTGTAACGCTATTCTGCACATCTGTGGACTAACGGCACGTGTGAGTCTCGGCGCCGCGTCGGTGCCAGCCTGTGCAGCGTTCCGACACGACGCGCCGCTGACCGACCGCCTGTCTGTAACGCCCCGGGGCAGCCAGCTGGCAGCGGGCCCGGTCGTGACCCTCGCCCTCTGGCCGGCGGCTCTCCCAGCCAGCTGTTGCAGCGCGCGCCGCCCCAAATAGCCGGCGGCGGCCGGCCCTCCGACCCACACCGGCACGACCCGGCTCTCTCGGCCAAGTTCAGCAGTGTTTTCCGCTCGACTGATAAGTGAGCGGTGCGAATTAGTACTGTGTGTAGGGATGTGGGTCAGACACGAATTCCACGCTCATGTTTGTCTGTTGGCCGCGAGGGGACACGTGCAGTTTGTGTGGGAATGCGCCGGGTGGGGATGGGAAGGTGGTCAGCAGGGGAGCGTTATAACAGGCTAGGTTGATGATCAGTGTGCGCATTGCGCAACCAATAATGGGAGTTAGCGCTAAATAATCCAACAAGAAAACCTGTGATGTGATCATTGCGAGCTGAGCTGTTATGTTATCAACAAGACGAATTATATCGACTCAACTATCATCGCTTAAAAGGAAAATAGATGGAATTTGGAAGACATCAAAATGGGATATCTTCGCTCAGTGGTATACCACCTCAGTCAATAACATCAAGCTAAGTATATAGGAAATGAGATAAACTATGTTATCCAGAGCATCAAGACTGATCAGATAGCTCTCATTTGCGCAATTACCTTCACCTACTTTGTCTATTGTCTTTATCTGTTTATATCATTAGTGAGCAGACATTTGGAATGACGTGTGCCAGCTTCAAAAACATGCTGTGTGCAAAATGATACCATTAGGTATTGAAATGTACGCGTAGGAAGCTATTTTATAAACGTACTTGCGTACTGGGCTCTTACCAGCTTAATGCAAGTAATCCATTTCTGACACAATTACGTAAATGAACTTTGCAGCAAGAATGAACGACTGGAGCTAGATACATTTATAACACGTTTTTGCCAACGACACAATCCACTTTGCAATTAAAGATGTTAACTAAAAGATACTTCAGCTAACTGTAACCCAATGGTATAATGCAGTTTTATTCCATGATCGGCTACAGCTGGGGATATCGAAAAGAATCAATGACGCTAAATAAAACGGAAACTATAGAAGATGAGCGAAATTACCGAGGATATCGTTGACCTTATGTTGGTGCCTGGTGCTCCTTCCCATCACGATCATTTGTGATCATTAGCCTGACTCGTTATGCGTATCATATTTCATGCATTGTGGTTGATTTTTTACCATCGCTACTAAGGTTTGCATGTCAGGCAGTTGCTTACTACCTATGAACCCCAAGAGGAAATGTTAACCCGCGCGGGGCTGGGGTCTCCAGCCGAACGCGCGGGGCTGGGGGGGGGGTAAATTTTACCCCCCCCCCCCCCTGTTATCTCCCGAACTAATGGTCCGATTTGGAAAATTCAAACGCCAATCGAAAGATCTCATCACGAACAACTAAAAACATGTACTTAATTTTAAGTTTGAGGTCAAGGTCAAGGTCAGGTCAAGGGTACAAATTGCAAGTTCCTACAGTATCGGCCTTGCACCGTAGTTGCCGAAGAATGGAGTCATGGACTGAAACTGATCGCCCAAAACGTGTTCTTAGGCTACCAAGACAATATTCGTTGCATACAATATCATTCAGAGGTCAAGGTCAAGGTCAAGGTCAGGTCAGGTCAGGTCAGGTCACCAGAAACAAAATATAGAAAAGGGCATGTGCGACACATGTTTTATGGGTCATTTTACTCATAGAACTCAATAGGCACACTCAATAAGTGATATGGACCACCTCTGGATGAATTTCAGGTCGAGGTCAGGTCAAGGTCAGGTCAAGTGAGGTCAAATTTTGAAGTTGGTTGTTAAGGCCTAAAAAGGTGTCTATCTGATGCAGTTTTTCACGGCGAATCGAATGGTGCTATTTTTGTTTCCGTATGAGGTCTAGAACTTCCAAAAAAGTCATTTTTCAAAATTTTTGTGTGTCGTGACGTCATAAAATTTTGAATAACTCCCACATTTTTGAACCGATTCTTCTAAAACTTGGTATGTAGGTGCACATAGACCACTTCTCTGAAATATATTCTGGTTTTTTTGATACACTCAAAATTTTGGATTTTATAATTATTTTCCCAAAAAAGTCAGTTTTTTTTTTTAAAAATTTGGGCCAAAAACCAAAATTTTCAAAAAAGCGAGATAGCCATTTGATAGACAAAGTAGAATTACGTATATCCTTTTTTGTTACGTCTTGATTCCTTAAAAAATGAAGATGTTAGCGGCGTTTGATCTTTTGCCGTTTTTGAGGCGAAAATGGCGAACATGACGTCACTAAAACGTCAATTTCTCAAAAATTTTCCGGCGGAATTCGCTCAAATTTTCAGGGAACATGTAAAATTGATGTAAGAAAAGGTACTGAAAGTTTGGCGGCGCTGCGCGCCGCCGTTTTTTGAGATATTGCAAAAATTCGCGAGGGGGGTAAAATTTACCCCCCCAGCCCCGCGCGGGTTAATAAATAGAAGCAATTCAATTGACCATATTTGGCAGCAAAGCCAAACTAAACACTCTGTCATGTGGCAAGCACCAGTTGCTCCCTGAATAGTTTTGTTTTCGCTCATAACTCGTAGGCCTGGAATACCGAGTAGATAGTGCTATTGTACAAATACGCATTGAAATATTAACCCAAACACAGTCTGGAATTCAGAGCAATAGTTGTTTTGGCTCTTGACGTGATGTCTAACTCTGTCAACAACAGCTTCCAGGAAATGACTTTGAAAGACATGTGCTACAGATAGTGGCGCAGCCAGGATTTCATTTCGGGGGGGTCATCGCCTCCAAAGCGGGCCCCCTAGTGTGCGGGCCCCCCACCCATTTTTCAGAATCTCTCCATATTTCATACACATTCTGCTGAGCGGGCCCCCTTTACCTGCACGATAACCCTGAGCGAGTTTGAATCAGAACATTTGGATAGAACAATACCTCGGTAATCACCCGGTGTTCAATTTTTGCGCAAATTGACCACGACAAAAATATGTTCTATGACGTAAAAATTCGTATCTTTCGAGGCCGAAATGTGCCTCTTCCGCAATATGCATAGCATATATGCAATCGGAACTGTTGCCTGCTTCCGTCGGACAATGTTTAACTAGTCCCATGTGCCTGTTCTATGTCATCTATTGGCTGCTGTAGTAAATTGTGCCTTTACTCTTCTTCATTACGTGAATTCGCTCACAAGAATTTTTAACCCTCGCGGCACAGGGGGGAAGGGGCTGATGCCTGATGCAATCCCCCCTAAAGTTTTTTTTTTCGCAAATAACTCGCGTAAAAAGCGGCTGATCGCGACGTCTTTCAGTACCCTCGCGTTGATCAATTTTACACCTACCCTAGAAATTTCATGACCCTGGCCCAAATGACCTAAAGGTCAATTCAAGGTCAAATTCCGACCTAAAGGTCGGAAAGTAGGCCAAACCTGGCCGACTTTCCGAGACCATGTTTGGCCAGAATCGCGGTTCGGCGTATGCCGGCTCGCATTAGCGGCGCGTTTGCAGTCCTTTCGTGGTTTCAAGCGTTCAAACATGTGATTTGATGTTGCTCCCATGCATAAGGGTGGATGTCAATGTTACCTGAAGGTCAGGTCAAGAGAAACGTACCTACCGCCTCTCATGGAAAAAATATGAAAAGCTAATTGATCAAA